AAGCAAAAATATGTCCATACTTAAAGTCACGACTTTCAATATAGGAACCACACATAATTCTTCAAACTGGGATGACAGTCGAAGCCCAAAGCAACCCTTAATCTCTGTCGGCGCGTTTAAAGAGGGAAACTATTAATCCCGCAATCAGACGTTGAAAGCGCACACACGCGTTTCTTGAAATAAAAAAGAGAGCACGGCGCACACGCAGTCCTGACGCGACAAATAAAGAGACAGCCGAGTTCCGTCTTTACTGACAGAGAAAAATTTTCGGCCAAATGAATCACTCGCTCATTTTTATGCGTGTGCGGCTCATTTGCCATGCCTCACACTCTAAAGCGCGTGCACACAAGCACGTGAATATATAAAAGCTTCAATAGTTCTTTTCTCAATTTTTAAATTTATTGAATATGAGCATTATAATATAATTATTATGTAATTATATATTAAAAATTTTAAAATGAAAATTTATTTAATAAAATTATTTCTTATTGTTTACTTCACAAGAATAATTTTAAGCTTCAAAAGCTTGTATACAAAATGATGCAAATAGGATAGTGCAAGAATTGAAAGTTTAAATTGATTTTAATAATTATATAAAATATACACTTCCACAATTTGTATCCTAGCTGACATCTTATTAAACTTAATAATTTTTCCATTGAGAAGGTACTCTATTGTATTATTTAATAGCTATAATCACACATTTAATCAAAATAATATAAAAAAATTGATAAAAATTGTGTATTGTTAAGTCAAACGAATTATGGATAAAATTTGATAAAAAAAAAAAATATGTAATACATCATATTGAAAAATGGACTTGTCCTTTTTGAAAATTTGAATAAAATAACCACGAGATCCCTGTTTGGTGCCCGTTGGTGGTTATTGTTTTTTCTTATTTTTTCTTAATTAAAAATAATTTTCCAATGAAAAAAGGAGCCTTTTTTTCTTCATAAGACAAATCAGCTAAATTATGAATTCTCAAGTCTCAAGATAAGTGTGTAATTTGTTTATTTTCATGAACATCAATAAGAATTTTGTAAGCAATGAAGAAAGAGAACCCCCTATCCTTTATTTTTTATTTTTATAAAATGACTTCATTCATTAATAAATTTTTTTTTTTTGCTTACAAGTTCAATAATTTCGATTACATTTTGCTTTTTCAACAACAATCGCAACAATCAAAATTGTGTCGCTTCCCTTGAAAGGTTTGAAAAAAGCTCCATCGAAGCATCGCGTAAGCGAACAAATTGGTGTTTCCCTTTTGCGCGGTTGTAATTGTAAGCAAGGGTGACAGGCGGGACAAAACCGCGCGGGTAAAAAACGCCGCTCGCAGGGGAGATAATTCTAATTGAAAGTGTCAGCTCGGCTGCTTTAATGAACCGCGGCGCTCACAAAAAACAGCACCGCGCGCGCATTTTTACGCGAGGAAGCGCGAGAAAGAGAGCTGCGGGGAAAATTAAGCTCGCGGCGGCGGCGGCAAATATACATTCATCTCTCTCTTTGCGTTCTCTCGCCCCGGCCGCGCGCGCGTTATGTGGCAACCAAGCAGACTAATTTGTAAAACATGTGTAAAAATAAACACATTATTTAAACTACCATACATCTCTCTCTTTCTATCTCGCAGGCAGGCGTCGACAACGCGCTGCCGTAAATACACATTTTCATTCCCGCTTGCTCGCGATGCACCTTTTTGTCCTAACGACACCACTTCCTGCTCGATCCGGTGCGCAAAGTCACACTAACGGACACACGCAACCCCCATCACCAAGGTGCTTGCCCTCGCCAGCCTGCGGAAATGCTCGAGCGAGAAAATGTGCATGTGTTCTGGACTCTCGTTGGACGAAACGTAAACTACAGAACTGAAGCATAAAAAAAATCAGTTTTCTGCAGTGAAAATTATCAAAAACACTAGATCTGTATTGGCCATGCAATTAAAATAATTTATCAATTCAAAAATTTCTCTCTGGTTATTTTTATCAATTGAGAACTTTTTAAAGTTGCCCAAAATTTAGTCCGTTTTAACAAAGTTAATATTTATTTGAAAAATAAAATTGAAAATTATAGTTTTTCAAGTTATTGTTAAATTTTATAAAATAATTATAATGAACATGCAACTGCAACTAAGATAATTCAGGAAAAACATTGAAATCTTTTTTCAAATTTAATTAACTTTATTTTTATTTTACCAAATATTTTTTTTTCAGTTTGATTTAATTTCATATATTTGTTGGTTATTAATGTGATTTGTACGATGTTTCTTATTTCAATTTATTTGAATAGAGAATAAAATAAATAAATATATCAGTGTGATTATTTTCATGCGCACTATTTATAGCAATTTGTCCTGTTATATGGGCAACGTTAATTCCCAATTTTTCATAAATCTAAATAAAAAAATATTTTAAAATTCATGTTTATTGGGAATATTTTGACTTTGAATGATTGTGCAAGTTATTTAATGAAAATTTAAAGGTTATCACGGATCTAAATCTGACTTTGTCTTTTGGGTATATTGTATATTTTTTTTAAAAAAAGATTAGTGAATTTTTACAGAGGAGGAAAAAGCGGCGTTTATATCAAATTCGGCAAAGTTGCTTGGGTTAAATAAACTCTCAACCGCCCAGGAACCAAATTAAGATTAGCTCATTTGAATTGCTAATTACGTTCTTGCGGGTCGAAATAATACTTTTCGGCAAAAAGGTTATCTCCTCTTTTTCTTTACAAGACCGCAGAAAGAGACGTTCTGCTTTAATCCAATTTAACGCAGATGCTCAGCACAACATTTGATTTGTATGAACTAATACAAACTGGAGATAAGTAATTATTTTAAATAAATACCCAACAAAAAATCTGCTAACTGCATAATTTTTGATAAAAAATCGGCCACCGATGGTGCTCGGTGCACCATCGGCGGCTGAGGAAACGAGCCAAACGGGATGTCCGGTGACTTGGGTGCTATAGCGAGCGAGTGTTATCATTCTGCGTCTGGCCATTGTGAGTTTTACTCTAGTGTATATTTTATGTGTGCGAAATAATCAATAGAAGAAATCCTTAGCAATGTAAGTTTTTTTGTCTTAATTTATCACCCCAACCATTAATTATTATCATTATTCTTTTGCCGAAAACTTGCAAATCTTCCATTATTTCCATTTTTTTTACTCCTTAACCGCCCAGAAGATATAGGTGATTAAAAAATTTTCAAGGTTTTTCAAAACACTTTAGAAAAAAAGCAATTCATTTGGAAGGGGGAATATTGAATTGTTGAACATATCACGACTCGCAAGAATTTTTGCTAAAAAGTGCTAAAAACTTTCAAATATCATATCCGATGGATTATCTATTATTACTATTATTAATTTCTTGTATTCTCAACTTTAAAAATTAGCAAATAATGTTCCATTAAATGTATATAATTTTTATTTCAAATATGAACTTAAGATGGTGATATGAAAACGTATTTTTTTATATAAAGAACTTGACCTTTGGACTTTGAGCTTTCAGTTGTTGAGAAATGAAACAATAAATTTCGAGAGCACTTTTTCCCACAAAGAGAGTGGAACAAAAACGGCAGGGTTCAGCAGCCCTGCTGGCTGACGGCTGTGAGAGTGAAAGACCCTCTTTTGTAACCTCGGGCGGCGAATATTGACCGCTGCGTGTCACGTTTTAGGAAAAAGAAAAGAAAAACGGACGGGATCCTTTTTGGTAATTTGCGTCCAGCTCGGAGGCGGTTCATGAGAAAAGAGCGACGTTGGGAACGCAGCCGGCGGATGCTGCGGTTCATATTTTTTCCACTCTGCAGTATTTACGTCTTCGCCCTGCCCACCCACATTGGGGGCTGCTTGTGCAAGACACCGATTTTTTTCCTCCTTTTGAACTCTCGGTCGCGAGTGTTAACAAGGGGTGAAAATGATTCGTCCATCTCTTTAATTTCTCATTTGACACCTTCTGCGCCTCCAGACGGGCCGAGTGCTGTTTTGTTTCCTAATTCTGTAAAAGAGGCGTCGATTGACACTCGAGCAGGGAACAAGTGCGTCCGTCAATCGTTTCTTGCCGGGCAAAAAAAGTCTGCTTTTTTAAGAAATTTGATTTACGCGGGTTCAGAGGGTGGAATCGGCTCTGTTTTCTGGATATTTTGAGACCTTTTCGAGAAAGTCAACTACGGGTTTGACACTAATCAGCGAGGAGACATTTTCCAGAATCCCAGCAGCACTTGAAACAGACTGAGAGCGTGCTGGGGAGGTGTTAAGGGCGCAAACACAGACCGTGACAGGTCTTTGCTCAAATTAGGCCAAAACTCGAGCATTATGAAAACACACATTTGGCTGTAAAACAGACACACTTAATTTATGACTTGAGACCAAAAAAATTCAGAAATAACAGAAAACATGCACTGATTGTGAGCATTTATTTTAACAGAAACAGCAGAATTTTTATTTATAGTTGCATTTTTCGTCTCCGTTCAATTTTCAAGATATTTTTTATTGACATACAGTGACAATGAGGTGCTGGACACTTAACTGTAATTAATTTTTACTTCAGCTTTACTTCTTGACTTTTAAAGAATACTTCATCACAACCAATATTTATGTGAAAAGAATTTGTTTAATTATTTTCCTTTGACATACAGGGCCTGCACTCTGAACGCGAAATAAAAAACTTCTGCTCGCACCCCTCTGGTGCTTAAGCAGCGCTTTCGCCGCCAGAGACCGAGAGATGATGCCATCTCGTACAGAGTTAGTGAAACTCGACATACTACGATACGCGCCAATGTATAAGAGATCAATATTAAATTTCCCATTTATGAACATTAAATTAGATGTATTGTTGTCATGAATTGAAAAGTGCAAATTATGATAGATAAAACGTCGTTTTTAAATGGCAAATTAACTGTGGTGTAACCACAGGGACCTTTAATTATTGTATTGCAGAAGAAGAACTTTAATTGTACAAATCTTATAATTATGTAACCGCGCGCGTTAAGGCCATTTAGTATATGAACCAAAGCTGAGCACAACCCTTAAGTTCCCGCCCCGCGCGCCACGCCACCACCGAGAACTACGACCGCCGCGCTCAGGGCGCCACCTGAGTGCCCAAGCAGACGCTTCCTGGACTCGACTGAGTGTGGTTGTAATGGTTTCCCTTCCCGCTTTAAAAGGTATTGCTTGGCGCCCACGCTATAAATTCCGAACTGAATATCCTTTCAAATCAGCTTAATCCGTTCACTAATTCAGCCCGAACTATAAAACTCAGCATTAGAATATTAAATCTAATAGTAATTCCGCATTAGTTTGGCCAATTATTGTTTAGTTTTAAGAATAAACCATCACTTTATTTGTTATTGTTAATTAACTTGTTTACTTGAAATATCAATTAACCCTTTTAAAGTTAAGCACAAAAGATAAAAGAGTAAAAGCATTAAAGGCCAATAAGAATTAAAGCCAAATTCCATGAGGCCGCCAAGTTAAGTCAATTAATTAATTAAGAAGCACGTTCGAGTCCGGGAAAGTCTCCAGCTCTGCGCAAAGTGAGAACTTCGGGGAAAAGTCCTGTCGAGAGTCACGACATTAACTACTTATATTCTATTATCTAATGTATTGATAAAAATGTTTTTTTTAATAACTAAAAATTATCGTAAGTTAAAGGGCAACTGCTTCATAAGATCTCAATTGTTTTTTTTTCTGCGATTGATGATTATTTTTTCATTACTCTCCTTATTCCAATCATTATCTTTTAGATTAAATAAAAGCCCTCTTTATCAGTATTGTCATTTAGTCAGAACTTCAAATATTATATGATAAGAAAAGTCTACTTTTGGCTCTTTATTCTGACTGTATGATTTGTATTTTTCATAGAGTATTATCCACTACAGACGATTATTGAAAAGCGGAAGAAGAGAATTTCTAAAGGACATGAAGGAGAATGAAGAAGAATACGACGATCTTACTTTGGAAGACTGGAAAGTCTCGGTTAGTTTGCAGATGAATCAAAAAAGGTGGAAGGCCGTAAAAGAGGGCAAAATGACGGACGTCACCTTTTCTGTTGGTCCTGATGGGGATGAAGAAAATGCACAGGTATAACGAAAGTCAGCACAAATAAGAAGTTCATGTTACGTTTTTGTGTATATTATCTTCTTTCTTAAACCGCGCTAATTTATTTTCCTATTGTATATATGGCGTTCTCATTAAATTCACGATTTTATTTTCGACTCATTCCCTTTTTTTCTTTTAGCCAGTCTTTGCCAACAAATTCGACCTTATGGTAGCCAGTGAATATTTTGCAACACTAATTCTCAGCGTTTCATCGGCACCACAGGTCATCAAAATAAATAATGTTGAGCCGCACATTTTCCAAATGCTCATCGAGTAAGTTCTCTGTTTTATATAATAAGCGCTTAAAGAATTAGAATTCCTAATTTCAGATTCATCCACAAATTTTCGTTGGATCGAGACATAGAGAGTTTGGACGACGCAGTCAAACTTACTCGCGCCGCTTTCGAATACAAAGTTGAGGAATTAGTCATTTTTACCACAAAAATGATCGCTACAAAATTTCTGCGGCCAGACACAATTTGGCTTGTACTTGATTCGCTCTCAGACGTTCCAATTGTTGCTTTGGAATGCAGAAAAGTATAAACAGAAGCTTTTTTTTTAAAAAAAAAAATATATATATATATATAAATAAACAATTATATAATTTTAATTAATACTCTTAGATTTTAGCAGCACTAACAGAGGATTGTCTACACGATCCCTCATTCTTGAACATAACAGCAAAAAGTTTGGAGATATTTTTGAAGATAAGAGTAGTGAATGTTTCCTCTGAAATTGAACTAGTTTGGGCGTGCATCAGACTTATCGAGGCTCGAGATCAAGACCGGTAAAATTTCTTAATTGTATTTCACCGCTTATTTTAAAATGCAATACAATTAATTAAGTGCGCTGATCCAAGTGGCGCTGCAGAACTTGCGGCTTTCAACTGTGGAAGAGCAGGAGGAATTATCTGTGCTTCTGCAGTACCTGACGGACGAGGAAAAAATTGCGATTTCTCTGAGGATGCATTCAAACGACACAGAATTGCCCACAACATCTCAAAGAGCGTTTTTAGCCCCGTCCGATATCAACGGAAAATTGATTGTGATGCCAGACAACTATGAAGAGCAAAGTGTGGTTTTCGCAGTCGCAGGAGCTAAATTCCGATTGAAATTCACGCCCAAACGGCGGATCAAGGTCGGGAAAATCTTTCTCGGTGACTTCTGGCCAGAAGCAGAAGGTCCGATGAGGTAGTTAAAAAATTTCTTTTAATTAATAAACAGATCAATTATAAAAGTTTGATCAACAATTTTCAGCAACAATTTCAACTACATTGATTTTATTGCAACGGTCGCCCACAGAAGTAATGGTAATGGTCAGCGATTTCAAGGCAAAGTGACGAGACAATACTTGGATAATGATGACGAACCTCGTCTCGTTTGCAATTTCGAATCACCAGTGTTTGTTCCCACAAATGCTGTGTGTTGTTTGCAGGTGCATTTCAAAACTAGAGTTTGCTGTCAGGCACTTGACGCAATAACTTTTCTTGGGCAAGATATGGTTTTTGACCTCAACTCCAAAAAAGCGAGCGAAATATTTGAAAACGTCTTTGTTGTCAACCCTATAAACTACGCAGCTCTATTCAATGCAGGTGACGAGGAATTCGGGAATGAAAACAATAATTACTGCCTTGTGAAAAGTTTTAACTATTCCGTAATAATGTAACATAAAGAAATTATTAATATTGTGTTAAGAATAATTTTTTATGCCTGACTATAAACACAGTCAGTTTTTGTTCAAGTTAAGAAATGTTTAATGCATTATGAAAAATTTTTCATGATATCCACCTCGTGTGTTACAATTAAATTTTATGTATAATGTATTATATTTACTTTTAATAATTAAAAAAAATTACTTAATTATGTATATAATAATAATAAGGATTTTATTTTATATATTACACTTTTTTGTCCAACTTACAAAATATACTTAGCCGCTTCAGATAAACTCATTCCATTTTGCAGCACTCATACAAATGATACAATCCAAAGATTTTGTGTGGCTAATTTTCAATTAATTTAAGATGATTTTCAGTCTCTGCGATCTCTATTCTTAATTTTATTTAATTTTAACATTTTATATATCATATTAAATATTATGACTAATTTTGCGATGGAAAAATAAATAATCAAAACACTCCATAACAAAAAATGGAAGTGAAGAAGAGCGGGCTTTATATCCTCGTTAAAAATTTTACTAATTTCCTAATACAGATCGCCTCTCCCAATCAATCTGTCTTTATAACTAGCCCATTTTTTATAAGTCAGCGGCGAGAAGTGCGTTTGCTCATGAAATAGGTTGAAACTAGAATTTTGTTAATTTCAAGGCATAACTTATTTTTATTAAAAAGTAGTTTTTAAATTTGGCATAATATTTTGTTTCTTCTTGCTCATGAAATAGGGTTGCAGACCCCGACCGAAACTGGTAGACCCGTTTTATTTTTAAATAAAAATTTAATTTTCCACGAGGAAGCCACACTTAAAACCTCCATTTGAACGTCTCCACGAGTGATAACTTCTTTGCAAAAACTACAAAAGAATTTTCATAAATTCTATGACCTATCATTTAATGTTCTTTTAAAAATCTTTAACTTATTGAACATAACCAGAAATATACTATCACTTGTAATAAACTTTTGAAAAAATGTTAACCAAATTTAGGAAAATTAAAGAAATGATTTGAGAATTAACATCTCAAGCAAGGGACACGTGGGGCTTCAAAGGCAAAACACATTTTGATGGCAGTGGTGTAAATTTTTTTTCTGTCGATGGTCACCGAGCGAGCTGGTTGATGTCTTGCGCGCGTACCGACGACCGCCCATTTTTATACCTCAAAGCCACACACATGCACTCTGTGTCTTGTCATGTACGGCAGCGGCAGCAACGGCGCAGTCACCGCCAACACTTTTGTTTATTGTTTTAGTACAAGCCAGCAGCTTAGAAAAATATATATTCTTGTACTGAGAACCGCTTATATACAATTTAAAAGCGGTGTTCGGTTCTCTTGGCGGCTTCGGCGACCGTGCGCCTTCTCACACGCAGGCCGCGGTCATCAAGATGAAAAGACTCGGCGTGCAGGTCATTTGACGTGGACAGAAATATTCCGCGCAATAAACACAAAAATTAAATGATGACTTACTTTATTATTATTAAAAAAATAAAACAAAGTACGTGGCCTTTCAAAATTGCGATTTGAATTTATTTTAAAATTAAATTTTTTATTTCATGTGAATTATGTAAGTTTTTATATATAACATAACAACGCCAAAAAAACTTCTTTTATTAAATTTGGTGAACATTAATGAAATAGAAAAAAGTATCCTTTTCAAAATTAAATTTTTTACTGTTGATAATTTGTTTGAATTGTTACATTATTTATTATTTAATAAAATAAATTTGAAAAATCCTCATACAAACTAATTGTTTATATTTATTAAATATTTTCAATCATATAATTTTAAATTATGTAAAGAATTATGAAAAAAATAATTTTTTTAAATTCATCTCCACAAAATATAATAATGTATTTAACGAAATTTACTAATTAATTAAAAAAATATCATTTTTTTTCTCTATTTTTTGTACATCAACATATATGTTGAAATGTTTTCTTATGTTTTCAAGTCTGAGCTACTTCCAGTTTTTAATTTCAAGTCCCGAAAAAGGTCCACTTGTGCACACAAGCTTTTTGTCTGTCGGCCTGTCGTCGACCATGTCATCGCCGGCAAAAGAGCGCACAGAGACAGCGGCAATTAACAAGGAAAACACGCATTCGCCAACAAACACAGCGCAGAGCAAGTCTGTGTGTTGATGTGGGTGGGCTGCGGATCGCGGCGCGTAAAACGCGTCTCGCTGCCTCCCTGCGCCGCGCACTAAAACAATTTAATATTTTTCAATTTGTTTTCACAACGCCCAAAACGGTTGGTTTTATGTTACAAAAAATCCGTGTCGAAGATGGATCTCTTTGAAACTCACTTGCTCCCGCTTTTGTGCTTTGGCTGGTGCGCGGCACATGTGCAACATCTTTTGTGCCCCGCAACGTCTGCAGCCGAGAGAAAAACTACAGCCCTCTCCAACCAGCCTTTGAAGTTGGAATCTTTCAGCTTCTTTTATGATAAATTCACCTGAGCTATGGAAAATAAAAAAGAAAATAAAAATACTTATGGTTTTTTGGAATTTATTTAAAAATACAAAAATGTTGAAATCCAAATATTTAATCTTTCAAACTATTTTAATCGTTGTTGTTTATTTTTCTACATTGATCTGGATCAAACTAGATTGAAAATTGATTAGAAAACTCTTAAATCATGAAAATAATCTTGATGTTTATTTTATGGGACAAGGTAGAAATTTAAATGTCGCTTTGCAGCAAACTTGTTTCGGAAATTACTGTAAAGAATGTAAAAGGTTTTGCTATGTTATTTTCTATTAAGCCTGTTAAATGATCAAATTTGCAATTAATACTGAAGTTGCATGATGCATTTGGGCAGATGCAGTGATTAAAATTTTTTGAAACATAAGTGCCAACAAAATTTATTAAGTGAAAAATTAAAAGAGATCAAAACTTAAATTTAAAAATGATCCCTCTGTATGCCAAAAAAAACCAGCAGATATTTACGATACGATGTTTTATAAATTATTTTATTAAATTTAGTTCGCAAACTGCGTTTAATTAAAAAAAAAACTGTTCGCAATTATAAATGACAGTGAGACAATTATTTTGATTTATTTCATCTTTCATAACTTATTGGAGCTACGAGCTGCACGACCTAAAATGTGCCAATTTTACGTAATTTTGGACGATAATTTATAAAAATTAATAAGACATTATTTAATATTGTGTTACATGTCTGCAGAGACAAATTTATAAAAAAAAAATGATACATTATCTAAAGCTTGAAGCTTTAAACTGCAAGACTTAAAATGTGCCAATTTTCCGTAAATTATATCAAATTATTTGTTAGAATATTTTGTCTGACCCCTAGACTAGATGTAGTAGTTTTAAAAATTTGGGTACATTAATTACTACATTTATTTGCACATTAAATTTTTAGACGTTTTCCCAGCTAACTTCAAATTTCAATATCAATAAAATTGTAATTTAGTTTAATTATGATTATAATATGGTATTGATTTTTCGCTTTGAAATAGTTTATTTATTTGCTTCAAATTTAGCAACTCTATAAGATGTCGAAATTTACTTAATTAATTTTGAATTCATGTGAAGCATATGAGTATAATAAAATTACAACAAACATTACAATTTTCCGTTTTTTTTTTTTTTTTTTTTTTTTTTTTTAAATATAATAATTTGAAAAACAAACCATTCTTAAACCTAGCTCAAAAATTAATTGAAATAATCACAAAAATAAAACGATAAATTTTAAGTGCAATGAAATATTCACTCCAATTAATTGAGATTAAATAAAAAAATTTGAGTCGGATTTATGTATTATAAAATGCAATCTGATTTTGTGAGGAATTTCGCTTAATTTTTCAATAGAACTAATTATTTTGTCTGAAAAAGTGTATTGGATTTAAATTTTCGTGGGATTGCGAAAGGTCTTTGAGGAACGTCTTTCAGTGACCCCAGTTCAGAGCCAGACTGATCCGTCTGATCGAGTATGGCGCGCTGTCATCGCAGTGTCTGTCAGCATTTGACGCGCGGCACAGCAAGGATGGAAGCAAGGATGCGTGCATCTGTGCTTTCAACACCATCTTTCTTCCTTGCCTATATAAAAGGGTTCTGGGCTTAAAATATGCCTGCGCTTGATTTAAAATGATCGCCCCGGTCACCCGCCGCCCACCCACCCAGCAGCACCAGCAGCCGCACCACTTTTTTTCCTCTCTCTTTCCTTGAATGCGTTAAAAAAGCGGCGGAGAAAAAGCTGCTGCCATAATTCTAGCGCTGAACTAGGGGCTAATTGAGCAACAACAGAGCAGGAGTCAACACTTTAATGGCCCATCATGTGAAATGAACCTCAGAAAAACACGTGTTGTTCCCGCTCGGCGCTGCTCCTGGCCTTTTTCAACTGCTGCCTCTGGTCTCGACTACAAAAACCTTCGAACAATTCTATCTCTGCACACACATGCTTGTGCCATTAATATCCACAATAAATCTTTCCTTCATTCTGCACCGATTTTCAAGAAAATGTTTATTGTCGTGACTTTTGCTTTACATTGAGCAAATGCTATGAGAGACAAACGCCAAGAACAAATGTTAAATGGTGAATAAAATTTAAAAATTAGCGATTTTATTTTAAAATATTTACAATTTTTAATTCAGGCCATCAAAAGAATGTTGCAAATAAAAATCTACAAAAATTATCTAAATCGAAAAATAAATTTGAATTAGTAAATTTAATGAGACGATTTGAGACTATAGAAAATAATAATTAATTGAAGTTTTTTACATTTCATTAGGATATTGCTTAAAAAATTAAATTATAACAATAAAATCATTTTCTCATTATTATTTGAATTAAAATTTCCTTGAAAATCTTCTGAAAATCTGCTGCTAATCAAATTCCGTGCATGGCTAACGATAAAACATAATTATTTTGATTGTTGGTTTTGAGCTCTACAATCAAATAATGACTTCAAATCAATAGGAAAAGCAAATTTTTGCAATTACTTGAAGATGATTGGAAATTTTAGCCACAATTAAAAAAAAGACGTTTTGCCTGTGCCAATAATGAGTCTATATCTTATAATCTTTAATATTTGTGAAAAGCACAAGCTTCGTATTTGATTGACCCAAATAAATACTGATTAAATAAATGCCAATGATCCTAATAAAAATTAAAGGTTTCTATTATTTTTTTGTATCTTTAATTCTCTCTAAAAGTTTAATTAAATTTCAGCTCGCAAGAAGAGTTTGAGGAAATTTTATATTCGCAGAGTGACTTTCGAACTGAACAAATTTCATGAGAACCATGAGTCAGATTTCGCGATAAGAATCACAAACTATAAGCTGCTTTTATTATAGTGTTCCTCCCTTTGCGACACAGAAAATTTGATTTTCAAATAGGTTTTATTGCTTTTGAGCTTGATTACGTTGATTAATCTTCAACAAAAGCAATTCATAAAAAATTCAAGCAAGAGTCTAAAAGGCCAGCCACACTTTTCCAGCAAAGATATAATCCACAGATCTTCCAAACATACACCACGCGTACAAGCGCGGAGTCTGAAAGTGTTTATTAAACATGCGGTATTAGTTGATAAACAAGTTATACCACGAAATGTGCAATAATTCACGGAGTTATGCTCTTCCTGCCCATTGTGTGATTTGTGTGTGCGGAAACAAAGGGAAATGCAAAAATGTTCAATTTAATTTCATGGTTGATTTGAATTTTCTATGAAATTTATGTCATTAGTGTGTATTAGTTTTCGAACTAAATAAACTTTCATTGAAAAAAAACCAAACCAAATTCTTCTGGAGATGATTTTTTGAGTTGGACATTAGAAAATAAGCATAATGTATGATGTACATGAAAAATTTGTGTTTATTTCATCTTTTCTTCGATAAAAACGGAATATCCTTAATTTTTTTTCTTATAAAAAACACAAACTTTGAGCACACAATTTGTATGTATTGGTGATAACTTTTATTTATAAATCTTATATTTTACAATATATTTATAAATATTTATTTTCATGACATTTGAGATCAGAAATTTATTTGATACTGTCATGACTTTAAATAAATAAATTGTAGTTTTTCGGAGTATTTACTTTTAAATTGGAATGGAGAAATTTGCAAATTTAATTTGTTTCATTTTAGAATATAAATGTTTTGTATTTTATAAAAATATTCTTGAACAATGGAATGTGCAATTCCAAACTGAAACCAAGAACATTAAAAAAGTTGCAGCTGATGGTTCGCAGACTTCAGCATGAGGAAAAATCGTCAGAACGACAAAATTGGCCCATTAAAAATCGGGACCAGTTGAAAATAGCAACTGAACGGTGTGTGCGAAACGCGGTCGGGCCGTTGTGTGTGGCCATCAGGGTGGTAAATTACACGCACATAACACTTCAAATAAAATCTCCAGCGCGTTTCAAATTAGCATCTCGCGGTCGTAAAGCACACGCAGCAGAGAAAAAGAGGCGGCGCTTCATCCCGGACAGAATTTTTTTTTACTTCGACCGAGGCGGGACTTAAGGGCAAGTGAGGCTCCAAGCCCAGCCTCTTTTCGGGCCCAAATCCCTGAAAGAGTAGGAAAGGTCGGCGACCCTGAGCCAAAGGTTGAGCCTTCCGATTTGGAATTGGAAATATTCTGGAATATTTTTCGCTTTTTCAGGGGACGCAGGGAGCAAAAGGGCTGGAGAAAAAGTGGAAAGGGCGGACGGAGTGTCTCGGACGGGCGCGGCCCCCACTTGGAGGCGAAGCCGAGGCGGCCGCCGCGATGGGACCGACGAGGGAAAATGTGATATTCGGTCGAATTGCGCTAGTGCGGCCGGACTGGATTAAACAAACGGCCACTCTTGTAAATAAAAGTGGTGCTAAGTTAGTTTTAACAACTGACAACGATCGGGGGCGCGCGTGCAATTTGAGGCTGCGGGAAGTCGTGCGCTGGTAAGCAGAGAGTGAGTTTGTATTGAACACAGTGTGCGTGTGAAAGGAGGGGATATTTTACGTAAGCAGACTTTCGTAAAACATAAATGTTTATGATGATTTTAAATATTTAAATTTTCGAAATGAAGAGTGAACGTGACTGTGGTGCCGCGAGTGCCTCATTGTGCTTCCAACAAGCCGCCTCTTTGCACCACCAGCACGACTTGGCCCAGCAGCAGCAGCAACCGCTGCTGCAGCCGCCTCCGCAGCCGCCCCCGACGCACGGCCTCCTGCAGCATGGCCCGCCGCAGACGGCCCCCGCCGTTCCGGCCCCCCTGCAGCCCGATCAGCTCCCCCAGACTGATGCCAAACTCGCCCCCGCTGACTCGAACGCAGGTGAGCGAAAAGCAATCAAAATTCAAATTATCTTTGACTAAATTAACTTTTTAAAATTGAATATTGAATAGTAACACTCAAGGTCGATTTCATGAAAATTGAAACCTTGCGAACCTCATTGCAAAGAAAAATAAAAATAAGCTGACCCTAAAAGGCGACTCAAACGTGTGATCGCACATGAATTGCAATGAATATTAAAAAATGAACAAAGACTGTAAATAATATGGTTGATTAAAAAAAAAAATTGAACTGAAAACAGTAATACTCTGCAAAAATATTTCTCGATTTTTCTTTTATATTTATTTTGTCAGTAAATGAGAAAATCTTTGATAGAATATAATATATTTATGAAGTAAAAATAAACAGAAACGTTGTAAGTGTGAAAAATAAATACCGAAAAACCTTACATGTAAAAGAAGATGATAATAATTTAGAAATCAATGGCAAATATTTGTGAGACTTCAGTTTGCTTCAGTTGAAGATTTTTATAATTTCTTAATGCACCTCTTATTAAAATCCTCCTCTCATCGAAATGAAATTAAGATCACAAATCACCTTATTTAATAGTGTATAATTGAATTAAAAATTAAAAAAACTTGGAAAGAATGAAGGACAATTATAAACATCATATTTTTAATTTTAAATTAATGTCTTATTGAAACAAGGCGTGTAAATTTTAAGATTATACTCTTGATAGTGTTGATAGTATTATAAAAATAATAAATGAGACCGAAAATTTAAGCAGATGTATACAATATAATGTAAAATGCTAACCGTTTCGGCGTGAGGAAGCTCTAATTGTTTACTATCTCATTTCTATTTGAGGTATAGAGTCGTTTGTTCAATATAAATTTTTTTTATAGATATTGACTGAAAATAAATTATTAAAGTACCGAGCAAAGGAAAAAAATAGACAAGAATTACAAAAGACAAATTTAATTATATAATATGTGAATCAAGTTCAAACAAATGAAATGTACAACTGGAATTTTATAATTTAGTAGATTAACTCTTTCTATTTTGCAGATTTCCAAAACATTTCCTTAAATTTACACTAGATTTCGTCTATAAAAATTGTGTTTGTGCGTTGAAATGTATTAACTCGTCGTTATTTATGAAAAATTTCAGGAGACAGCGGCGGGTTGATGAGCAAAAAGGCCAGCTCGGGGATGCGTCGGCAGGAAAAGCCGCCGTACTCGTACATCGCGCTGATCGTGATGGCGATCCAGAATTCGCCGTCGAAGCGGATGACGCTGAACGAGATCTACCAGTTCCTGCAGCAGCGCTTCCCGTTCTTCCGCGGCTCGTACCAGGGCTGGAAGAACTCGGTGCGCCACAACCTGAGTCTGAACGAGTGCTTCATCAAGCTGCCCAAGGGGCTCGGCCGCCCCGGCAAAGGTCACTACTGGACCATCGACCCCGCCTCCGAGTACATGTTCGAGGAGGGCTCGTTCCGGCGGAGGCCGCGGGGCTTCCGCCGCAAGTGCCAAACCCTCAAGTCGCCGTACGCGTATTTCTCCAACTCGGCGGCGACCTCCGCGGCGCCGATCATGCCGCCGACCAGCGGCGCCCACTACGACCTCGTCCATCAGCAGTCCAACCTCATCATGTCCCAGCAGTCGCAGCAGCAGCCCCCGCAGCAACAATCGCAGCCTTCCTTTTTGCAGGTAAGTGCCATTTTATTTTGTCTCTAATATTTTATTTCTTCTAAAAAGTTTTTCTTTTTACAATTTATCTTTTTAAATTAAATTAACCTTTATTTAAGCAAATTATTTATAATTATTAACGTCAATATTTTTTAAGGATTCATTACTGTTTAAGACCGAAGTATTTTTTTTTCATCAGTTTAGTTTAATTATAAAAATTATCAAAAAAGTAAATAAATAATATGATTTGATTATAAAATTTATGGTTAATTTAAATATACAGATTAATTCATGCTCAAATGATTTTTGAGTCTCATGCAAAATCCATTCCTCTAAGTTCTTTTTTTTTAATTGAGACAAAATGTGATTGAAGCAAGAAATTTTAATTTTTATAGAGATTAATTTATAAGAGAAAAAATCTATTACTACCCAATGAATAACTGCGGATTAATTAATAATAATAATATATAATCCCTTTGTAATTCCATAAAATATTCACTCTCACAAATCAGAAAAAAAATACTTCTTATTTTACAAAAACAAATTATCGAATAATTTTACTTTCCTCCTTCAATTAACCTTAATTTAAATAATTAAGAACCCCATATCATCGATTCCGATAGAAATAAAAATCCGATTATGATATTTGTGTGTACCAGTGAATATTTAAAATAGAGAATTACATGAGAAATTTAACGAATGATCTTTTAAAATTAAGCATAGCATCACATTTAATTATTTTAATTAATTCTAATATTTGATTGATGAAATAAACTCAGGTTTTCTCGGTTAACATGAGCAAATTCATTGTTTTATTTTTCGTTTTTCTGTATCATGCAGAAACAATAAAAATTGCTTATCCTTCACCGAGGAAGCCGAATTTTATATCCTCCAAAAATGAACACATTTTGAGTGCCAATAAGTTCCACAACAACCTCTATAGGAGTTTTTTATTCTATTCACCTACCTTTGAAGTGGCGTAGAAAGTCCCACCGTCAGTTAAAACGTGATGTCCGATGTAAATGCATGATTTTGTCGACCTTGGGTTGATCGAATCGCTGGCAACAGGTCCAAGGCGGTGGATTTTCCGTGTCAATTTCACGCTTTCTTTCGCGGGCACTCGAAAATTTCACACTCGCGCGCAAATTTATTCACTGTCCAAAGGGTGAGCACTCACCTTCACCCTTGCGAGCTCCAAATCAGGGGATGAAAGAAGTTTTTGCGCACGGAATCAGTGTTTGACGCACCCACTTCAAAACGTAAATAATTGGAGAGAACTTGTCATGTCAACACTGATGATGCGAGGGAGGTGGTTGGGAGGGGGAGAAGAAAAGAAACCATAGAATCTTAAGTACATATTTTTGTTGCGAAACGGCGCGAAAAGAGTAAACATACCATAATAGGAAATCAATCACAATGGCAATGCTAACAAAAGATGTTAGCAAAAATATATGTAGTCTCTCATTTTTAATCAAATGGTTGTGAAAAAAAGAAATATTTATTTATAACAATTTATGTATCGCAAATTAATAAAAAAAATAAAAATTGTGGAATAAAAGTCCACGATCGAGGGTTGAATTTAAAATCGGCTTTTCCTTCTTGGGTTTTGTGAGTCGTTTAGTGTTTAAGAAAAAACAATATGTTTTCGTGTTTCGGCTGCAGGCTGGGAAATAATTTTTTTGACAAGAATAAGTACATCAATACATATTTAAAAATATTTTTCTAACAAGTTTGGTTAATAATGTTTTGTGGGAACTTATTCGAAGTTGCATTTTTACACAAGAAGCAATTTTTAACGCTAAATTTTTATAGTTGAATGTTGAATCCGATATTTTTCACAATTAATTTTTATAATAGTTTTGGTCCGAAAATTGATAAAAGTGTTTTTATCATTTTTCTTTAACAATAAACAACTCACAAAACTCATTTTGGAAAAGCCGATTTTAAATTCAAATCACCACGAATAAAAAAGTAATGCTAAATTCGCAGAAAATATGCATAAAGGAAATAAATCAATGAACAATATTATGAAGAATTTTCAATGAAAATATTATTATTTTAAAGCAATTATAAGGTTTTTATTTAAAATTTATTCAAATAATTTAATAATCTGTGCCCCTATTTACTGTGACAATGACAAAATGTTAATTATGTGAAAACTGTTTCTAGGATTTCCACTTGGGCAACCCTGGCGGCACTTGTTCGTACGGAACACCGCAGAGCTCGATGCTGACCACCAATTACCAGGGTGGGACGGCCGACTACCTGGGAGTTGCAGAGCTGCACGCCTCGCACTACGGCCTCGACAAAGATTGGGGCTACGGCGCCCCCAGCGCAGGGCCACTCCCGTCCAGCTCCTTCATCAAGCCCTCGTTGAGTCCTCCAAACAACACAATTGGCTCGCAACTCATGCCTCAGGATTTCAACACCAACTTTGTGCCGTACCCGATGTGCCCCCAACCACCAAGTGACGTCGGTAAGCAAAATACAAGGCACAAGAAAAATAATTATTTCAATTTTTGGTGAAGAAATTAGGATTTTCATTTGAGAGTTTATTTAAAATTAAGAAGCCTAATAAATTTTCAGGACTTCAGAGGAACGGGGGCAAGAGCGACAAAAAACTGCACTATGTGTCAAATTTATCTCCAACAAACAATGTCATGCATCAGCAGTCGTACTATGATGCCAAATAAAATAATTATGCGGTGTTTGCCAAATTTTCAGCCAACAAAAATAATTGCCTTATTGTGCTGAAGCTTCCGCATTTTTCTCATAAATAGATTAAATTTAAAATATTTTTAATTTGTAACGGAACCGAAAAATATATTATGATCTTTGAAATAAAAATGAATCACATTAGTCAACAAAAATAAACTTTTCATTTACTCATAACATATTAGAGAACATAGTCTATGATCAATTAAACAAAACTTTATACCACTAAATAGGTACCTTGAACTAAAGCGAAGCAAAATTTTTTTGCTTATTTTCCTCAACAGGAAATTTCACATAAAATAAGTTTTTCTGAACTACAGAATTTTGGCTTCTCACAGCTGTCTGCTGTAAATCTGTCACACAGCAGTAATAGAAACTTATTATATGGCATGCTCAGCCTTATTGCCCTCAATTTAGTTTTGCTACACACTATAATTGTTGTATTGGAAAATCACTAGACAATCACAGTCATTTTTTGGCGACATTTTTTAAGTAAGCTTGGCAAAGGACGTATGTGAGCATCCGGAGCTCATGCTCTGTCCTCGTGTTGATCAAATCTTCTGCGAGTTCTTTCAGGACCTCCTCACTCAGCTTGTGAAAGAAATTTTGGCTGTAGTGTTTAATCACAATCAATTTTGTGGCGGCCGCTATTGTCGCGGCTGCAATCCACAAAGAGTCGTACTCGGCTTGCTGCAGTTCCAGATTGTTAATCCTAAGAATGGCATTTAAAAAAAAGATATCACATATTATTGCTTTCCTTACTTTTTTGATGCAGCCATGTCCAGTCCTTTGTTTTGAAGGAATTCGTCGAAAATTTTCCTGTGGTCATGGATAAGCAGGTCAAGCAACTCAATGGACTTTTTGAAAATGGAGTCTGCATGATCGAGGAAATTCCGACTCCTCCGTGTGGAAATGAGGTCTTCAACGGCACCATATCTTGTGACAAAGTTCAACTAAATGAACTTATAATTGTAAGAGAATTACAGAGAGCAATAATTAATTTTTACCTCATAATTCAAAGTTACGAGCACTTTCATTTCAGCATTTGTGAGGTCCAACTCTGTAGTAAGGTAACCCAACTTTTTCAGGCACTTGCATATTGCTTTTGGTGTGGCGAAAGACTGCAAAAAAATGTAAATAAATAAGCTGCACATGATTTTAAAATTCCATCAAAATGCATCTATTTCATACCAAGTCTCTGTTATCGTATTTCCCAGCAATTTGAATACACGCAATCAAGTAGATAGGGACGCTTTCATACAACGCCTCCCAGCTTTTGCCCATGCTTTCATCAAGATTAGTTTGATTGAGCAAGTACAACTTGTGGCCAAACTCACTTTCAAAGTAGAACAACATGAACCTACAAAAATAATGAAAACACAGAATAATAATTTTAAAAAAATTTGTTTTTGTATGGTGTGTATACCTTTCTAATAACTCTAATGTGAACATTTTTACTTCAACGGGCATTTGAAGCATTTTGCAGAAAACTTCTACAGCTCTGACAACCTGCTTAGATGACGCCTCAGTGAATGGTTGGTGGCCTAATGCAAGTTTTCCAATCTTCTGCATGCAGTCCGTATTCTTGAGCTTCAACGCCTCAATCGCAGCAAACCTCTGCTGATCTTGAAATAAAAATGGAAGATTATTAAAAGAATTTAAATAATAAATTTGGAACTAACGATTCCGACATGTTTCGACTATTTTTGTGAACGAAACTGTCCGGATGTCATCATTGGGGCGTTCCACTATCTTGTCCTTGACCTTCTGTTCCTTTTTCTCTTTATCCATTTTGACAATCAAAGAGGGGAAAATTTGAGCTTTGGACGCAAAATCTTCTATTCTGCAACGTAGAGGTGAGCAAACAAAATTATAAAAGCGCAATGACGTGGTAAAATTATACAGATATTCTCCTTTTCTCCTCCGGTGCGCCTGCCTATCCAACAAAAAAATGTGTTTACGTGACTAGTACTAATTCATATAATGATAAAATCAAAAATACCAAATCGTCTGCTACTTTTTACCTCTATTTCCGACTCGTCCAACGTCACCGCGACAGCTCGCACGTCGCATTCGCACGACCTTCTTTCTCACCGCATCAAAACGTCTGTTTTCCCGCTAATTTATTGAGTTGCTTATTTCCGCCCGCAGAGGGCAGATTGGCGCCTTCTTCTTGCTCTCCGATGTTCTGATTGGTCGTCAGGATAAACACATGGGGCACAAAATTTGTTAACACAAAACACAAAAGTTGAGTGAGAAAAATTCATTGAGATATTTACAAATTTTTCTGTAAATTCGAGATTAATCTAAATTTAATGTGAGTAGTCCGAGACAAAATGAGCAATAGAAGATCTTTTTCAAACGAAAACCGTCTGCCGAAATGGTACGTGAAGGCGGCGAAAATGCTACAAGCCGTGAAAGAAAAGAAGGAGAGCTTGAACAACCTGATCTTTTCGCAAGACAATACCCACGTTGTAAGTTCAAGAACTTTGGCTGCTGGCAATTAAAATATTTTATCGCAAATTTAAATTACAGCAAATCAAAAGCATTTACGGACTGGTGACCAAAGCTTTGCAGCATTCCGAGGAGCTCGACAAAATGCTAAAAATCTTGAAAGATAAATCCGACGAGACCTCGCACTTTGAGGAGTTCAAAGCGAGAATTCTGCTGACGGAACTGTTTTGGGGCAAACTTCGGCTGCCTGATGTTCCTGGAAATAACAACGTCAAGGTTATTCTGGCAAACCAGGATCGCCTCTCATCCATTCCCATCAATGACGATTCCAACTTCAAATCAGGTTTGATTATGACAAAATTTATATATATAGCATTTAATTTAAAATCTGTTAAAATCTAGCCATGCCTCGTTATGTGAGAATCAACACGCTCTTCACGACCAAAGAATATGTCTTGGAGCACCTTGCCCAGGATTCATGGGAAATCGTCGAGACCCCTATCACGTATAACAGGTTCCTCAAGCGGTGTGCCAAATTATCGGAGCCGAATTTCATGGTCGACTTTCACTATGACGATTTGCTGGTTTTCCCTGCAAAGACGCCCATCTACAGGCACTGTCTGTATCAAAGTGGGGTCTTCATCCTGCAAGCCAAAGTAAGAAATATTAATGTGCAAGTGAAAATTTCATAACATTTCATCACAGTCGAGTTGCATCCCTGTGAAAATTCTGGATCCTAAGCCTGGTGATGTGGTGATGGACATGTGTGCAGCTCCTGGAATGAAAACTACACAAATTGCAGCTCATTTAGAAAACAAGGGGTAGTTTAAATTTATTCGATTTCCCTTTATTTATGAAATTTTAATTAATTTATTAAATTTCAGTGTTGTCCATGCCGTTGAAGTTAATGAAAAACGTTTCAACCTGCTCGAAAAAATCCTTCATGACCATGGAGTCACATGCGCTAAAACGCACAACTCGGACCTTCTTTCCCTCAAACCGGAAGACTTTCCCGATGTGACTCACATTCTTCTTGATCCGAGCTGCTCAAATTCTGGTAAGGACCTTTATTATCTATTTTTTTTTCTCTTTGTGATGGAAACAAAACAATGAATTTAGTACTGAAATTTTCTTTGTTATATTTAGGCATGGACCGAGCTGACGTGGAGGCAAAATCGGAGGAGCAAATCCGACAATTGTCCTCCTTTCAAACCAAGTCGTTGTTCCACGCTCTGTCTTTTCCAAATGTAAAGCGAATTGTCTACTCGACCTGTTCCATTCATTCATTGGAAAACGAGGCAGTGATCGAATGCGTCATGAAAGTGAACAATGACAAGTTTCGTGTTTTGGAAGACTTGCCCATGAGTGAGGATTTTTCAAGGGGCTCGGACGAGTTTGAGTTTGGCAAGCACGGTGTCTATTTCCACAGTCAAAAGCATCAAACCACTGGATTTTTCTTCTGCGCGATTGAGAGAAAATAGATTTTTTGACATTTTATACAAATAATAATATTTTGTAATAACTTCCCATTATAATGAGATGCTTGAATGTTGAATTCCTCAGTTTAAAGTTACAATATCAAATATCAAGCTCAGAAAACCATAATAAATTTTTAAGATACTTTTATAAGACTGCTTTTTTTGTTATCAGATTTTTTTTGCAGTTTTGCCAATCATGAAAAACTGGCACAGCCAAAAGCAATTTATTCGGTAATTTGCTTGTGTCGAGTCCTAGATTTGAATTGCTCCAAACGCAACTCCTCGAAGGTGTCGGTTCTGAAATTAATTCCGCCCCTAACCACTTAGGCAAAATAATGCGCACAACCAGCAATTTAAGGGTCGCAGGGGCGCTATTTTTGCCACTTGGATTAAAAGACACATCATGACACAGCAGTCCTTGCACCTTAATCAGCGCCTAAGGTCATCTCAAAATTCCGTGCGCCACCGCCGCCGCCTGTACTGCCCGTGCATGTCAAGAATGAGCAACCTACTTTTTTTTATCGCGCCCCACATTTTATGCGGCGACTTCAAATGGCCGGAGGGTTGACCACTAAATGATTGTTTTCCTCGTGTTTAATAATCAAATGTGTGTCGGGGTGGATATATGCGGTGTTGGGCAAACATCCTGTAACAATTCTTCATCCTATCGGCCAAAGCCAGGTCGCACGTTGCGTTTTTTTTTTTAGCGGAGAGAATATGATTTTTGAGCCGTAAATAATAAAAAGCACACGTCACGTGTGTCGCTTGAAATATGATGTTATAAGCAAGAACATTGTTTCTCGGCGCTGATAAGGGCATGCGATTTCCTCTTACCTAGTTCACCGGCCTTGCAATGATCGCTGCTGGGGGAAACCGCTACCCAGAATTCCTAAATGGCAGAACCCTTATAGAGATGAAAAGAATCCAAGGCTAGATTAAAAAAAAAAAAAAAACAGTTCCTCTAAAAAAAATCGGCACAGGAAATCCAAAATAATTATGTTTTTGTTAGAGAGCGGCAAATCTCTTCAATCTCTATCAAGATTTTATTTGGCACACGTTTTCCACAAATGCAATCAAACTAAGAAATTGTTAACACTAGTTTCTGAAGCTTTTTATTTCAAAAGTATTTAAAACTGAAAATTTGCCATAGAATTTGCTGAAAAATGAGCTTGTCTTTTGTTTTTGCTGCTTATTATTTGTTTCCCTTTATTGAAGAAAAACATAAGCTCCATTTCAGTTAGGTAAGCGCAGCGAAACTATATTTTTGGGCTGAAAAACGTCAATAACTTTTAAGGTCGTTATCAAAATGAGAATTTTTTTTACACAAATTTAAATACTGGTCGATATTAATGAACCGACGACAAAATTTATATTATTTTATGTTGAGAAATTTTTCTTGTTAGAGTTGGCAACGACAGTCTAGCTCAAGCAGGCATTAAAAATATTGAAAAATAATAAATATGTTTATTAAAAAAAATTATAAGTCAATAAAAAGAGTATTTATAATTGTAAAGTACTAAATTATATTTTGCATTAAATATATTATGTGGATGCCCAATTTATCTAAATCTGTGAGTAAATTTTAACAAATTTATATTCAGTATCATTATTTTTGCAATATATCTAAAATCGGGTCAATTGCTCCTAAATTGGCCGTCTAGCGGTCCCCTTGATTTGCTTGGCAGTTTTTTCGTATAATCATTTACAAATGGTAATAACACTCCGTATCGCTAACCCCAAAACAAGCAATCGCGATCATTAGCATGCACAGACCTCAGCAGACGTGTACGAGGCAATCTGCGAAAAATGTCCCCAAACCATACACCGGGCACTTTGTTTTGTGGGTCTAGAAAAATTAAAAGCATGTATGAGAAATATGGGTAACGACCAAAATAACCTACATTTTCTGGACGGTCGCATTAGCATAATTTCCCCAGGCAAGGTCATTTGCGGGATCGCGATAGTCGGGATTTTGCATTAATTCCGTGGAAAAGGCCGCGCGCAGCCCACTTTCTTTCCCGTCTTAAGCGTACTGAGGTGCGACGCTAATGACTTGCACAATTAGTCATTCGTGATAAGAAGGAGCTCCATCAAAGAAAGGAAAGGACACTGGGCGCGAAGGGAATTTTTTCCGCAGCTAGATAGAAAACGTAGAAGGACAAAGGCCTTGGCTGAAGCAAACTGGACGGCAGGGAAATTAATAAAGTCTTTTTGTGTTTTGCGATACGTATAGTGAGATTTATAGCGCCGTGTCAAGATGCGAATTAATCATCTATTCAATCTTGCGTCGTTATCGTGGACGTATAAATAATGTAAGTAGCTTTGCAGCAATTGCAAATGGTGCTGATTTATTTTCAAATAATTTCATTATTTAGATGGAATAAACGGTATTTATCTTCAAATCACAATTTATGTTTTTATATTTTTACTAACAATTAATTCCTAAATTGTAAAAATTACTATTATTATTTTTTTTCTTCAAATAGCTATTAAAATTTTTCTTTTCAATGTAATATTTTATTTCTCGCTGCATCTTAATAAGTAAGGATCTTAATTGATCGTAATAAGATCTGAAGAAAAGATGGCCTAAAGAATTAATTTAAACACTTTCTGCATATTGCGCTGGTTTATAAATTAATGAAATTGTTGTCTTGTAAGTAATAAGTATTTTCTTTTTAAAATATTTTTCCCTAAAAAATTATATTTCTAGATATATTATGCAACAATAATATTTCTATGATAATTTACAATGTTTATTTGTTTTATTTTGCACAAACAATTTATTCCTTTTATTTATATAAATATTTTATTTTCGCTAGTTGTGCTGTTTCATAAAATAATTTTTTTTTATTTTTATTTTTTTTTATTGATTAGTAATCTCATCACAAACACAAAATATATTTGGGCATTATGAAAAATATAATTTTCTTGTGAAATAAAAAGTGCACATTCTTATTTTATTTTTTCTCTTGGACACTATTCTAGTTTCTTTGAATGACATTACAGGCCAATCCATCAAAACTATATAAAATCTAGCACACAAAAATTGGGCTCACAATGAGCAATGATTTGGCAATTTTAAATAAGGAAGTTTCTGTCGGCAAAAAGTAGTGCCAGATTTTGATATAATTGGAAATTGCCGTCTCCCAATATCTAAGTGGGCCAGAGTGAAGTTGTTGTGTAGCAAGCGAGCGACGCACACATTAACCCCATATGTGTCGTAAATAATAACACACTGATGTCGTCTGGGCAGAAAATGGAAATATGCATAGCCTAATCGCGGTGAATTATTTTCTCCCCGGGCCAGAGAGCGAACGAAACGAAAGAAAAAACCCATTGAAAATATGGAGTAATTTATTCCAACCTCGGCAAGTATAATAATTTATTCGCTCCCTCTCGCGTCTTACTTTCTTGAATCACAATCTAGGTTGGAGCTGCGCAGAAAGGAGGTGGTCAGTCAGTTTGCGTGACACGGGCGAGTGACCAAGCCAAAGAAGGGGGTTAATAACAGAGAGGCACCTTTTGTGGCACAACGTGGCCCGAAAGCGGCCAGTCGACTGCAGCCCTCCGTCCGGGGACGACCTGAGAGAGACAGCAAGACCGCTTCTGCGACCGAGTGGTGTGTGGCACCCCCCGAATTGCACCAGAGTAGGCAACACGCATTATTCCCATAGAGTAGTGTGAGCTCCGCTTTTGTCGGTCGGTGTCTCTCAATTGCCGAATTTAGTCTCAGTGTTCGTCCAACCGTAGCGAGCAGTTTGCAAAATCAATCCCAGTCGCTCTCTCTAATCTTTGCAAAAACCATGTCGGACGCGTCCCCTCAAGAGCCAGGCACCGACGAGGTCGAAGCGCCGAGCACCACCTCGCCGAGGAAGGCCGTGGCGCGAGCAAAGTCGGCCGTTGACGTCGCTGCCGTGGCGTCCGACTCGGAGCCCGAGAACGGCGACTCCAACGCCAACCAGGACGACTCGCGCACCACCTTCTGGGGCTACTCCAAGTCCAGGATGGACGACGACACGCCCGTCCAGTTCGCGAAAAACAAGGAGGCGGCCGCCGGCGCCCCCGAGGCCGGCGGCGGCGGCGGCACCATGGCCGTCTCCAAGCGGCCGGTCAATAATTTGTCCTACTGGCGCGCCCGCAAAGTAATCTTCTACAAAAATGGCGACCCCTACTTTCCGGGGGTCGAGTTCCGGTTCAAGCCGACCAGGGACATCATGTCCATGGAGGCGCTCCTGGACAAGGTGTCTCTGCGCATTGACCTGCCGACCGGCGCCAGATACATTTTCACCGTCAACGGCGAACGCGTCACCTCGCTCGAGCAGCTGGAGGACGGCGGCAGCTACGTCGTCTCCTCGTACAAGATCTTTAAGGTATTTCCAAGGGGTGCCTCTTAGTTTTCGAAAGCAGGAGAATTTTTTACTTTACCTTCATACTTTGAAAGTAATAATTATATTTAAATCAGTAAATTTTTAACACGTTAACCGTGTTTTTAAAATTGATAAAAATACTTGTTTAAAATAATAGATTCTAATTATGATGGTCCTTCATTTTCGGTATTTATAGTGATTGAATGCAAATCTTGTGTTTATTTTATGAGTAAAATTATTCCACTTGCATGATTCCAAACTTTTTTTTTAAATACTCCAGTTTAAAATAGCAAATTTCATCAAAACAGTTAAATTCAATTTGAGAAATAAATTACACTGGTTCTTAATTAATCTACCTTAAATAAAATAGAAGCTATGATATCGTTTCTTTAAATCACACACCAGTTAATTGAATGTAAATTTTAAGCTGCTAATCAGTTATATTTTGACGCAACCGCTTACTTTTTTCAATTCGTACTCTTGCTTACCGTTATAGTTAATGAGTAGAAATTACAGTTTGCATAGTTAATATTAAATAATGATCTCCTTGCTACTTTCAATCAAAACTCTCAGCACAATCACTTCATAGACTTGGTAGTGACCTAGACATGTTTTCACAAATTCCCAAATTAAAAATTATTATACCACATTTAAAATCTATGTCAAATATAAAACGTATAAAACAAAAATAAGGAAATAATTCAATTTTATTAAAGAAATCGAAATGAATTTACTGATAATGTTACTTAAAATTTATTTATCGTATTTTTTCCTTCACAAATCAAGTCAAAAAATGAAAGACATTTATTTAATTGAACTAATCAGGGAGACTTGAATTTTCAGTGAACAGATATTTTCTATTATGGTTCCTGTCTTTTCGAAAACTAGAAAGCCCCTGACTTTTTGCAGGTTGGATCAGGGAAGTTATGTTGTTGTAAATGTTGTGCTTCTGTAGATTTGTGCGTGCCGTCTTATCTTGTCGTAAATCATCTCGTACTCTAAATCACATTTTTTGTAGACTCTATCCATAAATTTTTGTAAACTTTTTTAATTTTAAATTTCTTCCGCGTGCCTGTCGTTAAATAACCGTGTCACAGACGCATCGATGAATTTTACTGTAGTCCGAACCAGGAAGTGGCATTAACTCATACGAGAGTAGAAAAATGTAACACACAATCTAGTTTTTTTCCTATTTTCTCATTCGTACTTTAAACTCGATCGAATTTGGTCATGCGATTTGTGTTGGTGATAACACAAATTCAAGATTTATAAATTCTGAAGCACGCTTTGTAGACTTATCGAACCGCGCGAGAGAGAAAAACAAACATCTGTACTTACATGCGCGGCGCAAGTTTCCACGCGAGTCACCTCGGCCGCCGCGCGGTCCAATAAAATCCGTATGAAAATCACACGCCTGGTCGTTGCACAAGTAGGCAACACGCTGGACACATGTGACCGACAAAAAGCCTAACTTCTTATTACGTGCGCTGTGATAAAATAATTATTTTATTGCGCTCTGAGCAACAAAAAATAATAAAAACATTAATAAATTGAAACCTATAAAAAAATAATATAGAGCCTAAATCAAAACTTTTGACTGAAAAAAAAAACTAAATAACAATTTTAATAAAACCTTCTTTCTTTTGAGTAAAATATTAATTCCTTACTTACTATTGGCTCTTGCTTGATTGAAAGTATAAGCTAAAAGCAGAAATAAAATGAAATCTAAGACCCGCTAGAGCACCCGTTCTTTCGTTAATTTGCAGCCAGGGAATTACGGGAAAAAGCGAGCTGGCAATTTCTACAGCACGCCCAACTCCCCCGAGATGGCCACCAAGCCGATGATCGCTGTTGGCCACGGCAACTGGAGGTCCAACAAGAAAAGCATGAACTCAACAGTGCCCAACGCAGGATCCAAAGGCAGCTCCGGAAGAATTATTCGCATTGTAAACGGACACGATCACAGCGTGCAGGTTAGTAAATATTTTTAATTATTAATTGTCTCAAAATACGTTTCATTATAATTTAAATTTTTATAATCACATATTTAAAAAAAATATTAAGCCATTAATTTCAATTTTATTGTGATTAAATTCCACTTTAGATTTTTTATAATTATTCAATGTCGATTTTGCTTTATTTTTATCTTTTTGTGGTTTAGTGTCGGGTTTTGCTGAATCTGCGTACGACGCAACCCTTCGAGGAAGTGCTTGACGATTTGGGACAGGTGCTCAAGATGGGCGGCGCCAAGAGGATGTTCACCCTAGGCGGACAGGAGGTAAGTTGGGCTGCTTTGTTGTTTTGCTCCGCACACCCTCTCGTTTTGCAATCGACGCGCCGTACTCTCTTATCAGATGCGATCAGATCATTTGCATGGCGTGCCCCCATCAACTAGCGAGAAACTTCACTCGAGGGGCGGCGGGTGAAATTATCACGATCATTAGCGAAAGATCTTTGCTTGAATCACGGAGTGGAAAGTTAAAAGGAATATAATATGGAGTTGCAAGACATTGCGGTAAACTTCCGCACGTTTGATCCTGAAACTTCAAGTTTTATTTATTGAACGTAAATATTAAACAACACTTTGCAACATTAGTCAAGTTAACAAAATCTTTGATATTTTTTTTATAAATAATAAATATTGTTATTAATCAACTTATTAAATATTAATTTATTTTTCCTCCATCCATCATTTAAATTTAAAAAAAAAGTAAAATCAAAATTAAATTTGAAAAAAGCTGCAAAGGAGAAAGAGTTGTAGATTAGATGGGAATAAATAGCATGTCTTTATTTAATTCAATTATTGAAATTAATCAATTAAAATCTTGGTATTTAAAAGCCTTTTTTTAAATTTTATAGAAAATGAAAAACATTTGTACTTATTTTCATCCATTTCGTTTATCAGGTGCGCAGTTTTTCACAATTGCGAAACGAATACGCCGAAGTAGACACTTTTTATTTGAACAATTCGTCGGGTCGTCGATCTCGAACGCCGAGCGGAGGCGCCGCCGTGGGCCCAACCCTATCTGGTAGCAACATGTACCTTTATGACGAGTACGACCCTCCGGCTCGCAAACCAGCCATGTCCGCTCGCAACCCTAGCAGACAGAGGGTGCTCAGCGAACCCGACCTCAGACACTCGTCCATGGGAAACCACGACTCAATAGGTACAGTTGAATTTTTTCACTTTTTTTTTTAAATCTGCAAAAACTTCCAATTTATGTGGAGTTAAATAAAATGACGCGAAATTTCAAAATTAGACTACGACGTGACAGAAGTGGGTTCTGGAAAGGAGCCGGCAAGGGTGGTAATCAAGGGTAACAAAAAGGTCTTCTTCCCGCCGATGCATCAGAAACTATTCGACCCGACACCTCCAGACAAGCGAATGCAACTTAGCTGGGTGTATCCTTTTCCTCGTAGTTTCCGCATTTGCATATTTATGAATTATGATAATTTGCTGCCTATTACTGAAAAAAATTACAATTGCAAACATTGGGAAACATGCACGGCGAAATTTGTCCTTAACATGCGAACGCAGTTACGGATATCGCGGCTTCGACTCGAAAAAGAATCTGTGGGTGCTGCCGACGGGTGAAATTATGTACTATGTCGCCGCCGTGGCCGTTTTGTATGACAAAGATGAGGAGTCTCAAAGGCACTACACAGGACACACAGAAGATATTGTCTGGTAAACATAGGAAAATTTATTTCGTTTTTGTGTGTGAAGATATTTGACACTCGTATCAGAGAATTTAATGCAAGTTGAGAAAAAAGGACTTTTTGCTTCGTTGAAAGAATTATTTTATATTCAAAAATTAAATGACTATACCAGCTTTTGGTTCATGAGCAAGAAAAAGAAAATAAATTTGAGGGGAAAAAATATATACATATATGTTTTTAACAATAATAAAAATTTAGTTTTATGATTATTTTAATTATATATTAATTTTTATTTTATTTATTACTTTTTGTTATAAGTGGTTTCTGTATTTTTTTTGTCATTTTCTTGCTCATGGAAAAGGGTCCCAGACTGTGACTGATCGACATTTAAAAAAAAAAAAATTGATTTAACGTTTTAAAGCCTGTTTTTACTTCAACTTCACTTTTAATTTTTTTCCAATATTACTTTTACAGTCAGAAGCGATTTTATTCAAATAAATAAGATACGCTTCAACAAATTCATCCAAATGCCTTCGTAATTTCAGCATGGACCTTCACCCCTCCAGAGAAATGGTAGCCTCTGGTCAGAAGGCGGGTCGAAACAGAAAAACGCAGGCTCACGTGCGAATCTGGAGTCCGGAAACGCTTCTCACGCTATATGTTTTCGGCATGGGCGAATTCTCGGTTGAAGTCTCGGCGGTCGCTTTTTCACAACTGGCAAGTTTTAAACTATTTTTCTTTTTCACTATCAATTAATTAATTGAATTATTAGAATGGTGGAAGCTACGCTTTGGCAGTCGACGGCGGACGGGAGCGAATTTTGTCCGTCTGGCAATGGCAATGGGGACACTTGTTGGGCAAAGTTGCTGTACGTTGATTTTTTAATTTAATACGTCCCAATTAATTAACAAGGAAAATCATTTGATATTTCTGAAATTCGTGATTATTGCAAATATTCAAAATACAACTTTTTACTAATTTGAATTTTTACGGGATCGAAAAATTTCTGCAGACGTTACAAGACGAACTTTCCGGTGCTCAATTCCACCCGTTAGACGACAATTTGGTGATCACGTACGGAAAGAGCCACTTGGCCTTCTGGACGCGACGCAAGGACGGCTTCTTCGAGAGGACCGATTTGGTGAAGCCGGTGCGAGTGCACTTGGAGCTAATTTGAATCCGATTCTAATGCATTCTCACCCATTCCAGCCGTCGCCAACCAACATCGTTTGCCTCCAGTTCGAGCCGGACGGTGACGTCGTCACGGCCGATAGCGACGGATTTATCACAATTTATTCCATCGACAGCGAAGGATCCTACTTCGTGCGCCTTGAGTTCGAGGTGAAAACCCCCCGCAATGAATTACGAGAACGCGCGGTGAAAACGAGAACGTTTCTATTTGCAGGCCCACGCGAGAGGGATCGGCTCGCTGGTCATGCTGTCCGAGGGTACCCTTTTGTCTGGCGGCGAAAAGGACAGGCGGCTGATTGCGTGGGACAGCATGCAGAACTATAAGAAAATCGCCGAAACAAAAGTAACAATTCAATTTAAACAAAAAATAGTTCTTTACTACCAAATTTTAATTTGATAACTAATTATTGATTATTTTATTTTTTTATTATAAAATCAATTTTGTTTTTGTACCAGTTGCCTGAGAGTGCGGGTGGCATCAGGACAATTTACCCACAGCGACCAGGCAGGAACGACGGGAACGTGTACATTGGAACAGTCAAGAACAACATCGTCGAGGGCTCGCTCCAAAGGAGGTTCAACCAGGTCAGAATTTGCATGCATAATGTTGAAAGTGAACGGTGCCAATACGCAAGGACGGCGATCGCTCATTTAACCCGATCATTAATTCATTTCACGCCCACTGAATAATAAACCGTGCATTATTTTCTCCATTCAGTTGGTTTTCGGACATCACAAATTATTGGTTGGCATGGCCGTGCACCCCGACGAGGAAATGTTCGCCACAGCCGGCCAGGATAAATGCATAGCCCTGTGGAGGAGAAACGGTCTCATTTGGAACACACAGGTAGATAGGGATTATTTTAATTGTAAAATTAAAATTTGGCGTTTTTTTTTCATTTTTTAAATTTTTTTTATCGAGTATTCTGGTAGAGAATTGAATAATAAGTTCAAATTTTAGCATTAAAATCCATACAAAAATTACATTTTATTCTTATAATTTTCTTGAAATTTTTAAATTTATGATAAAACCAAACTGGTAAATTTGCAGACACAAATGGAGTGTGTTTCGATTTGTTTCCACCCTGACGCTGGCGTTTTGGCGGCGGGAACAGGCGATGGCCACCTTTTGGTCCTGAATGCTGAAAATGGAAATCCAGTGTCTCGTTTCAGAGTGTGCGGCTCGTCGCTCAACTGTGTGGCTTACAGTCCAAGTAAGAATAATTTTAATTTATTTGAAAATAAACATTTAAGACGAAATTTAATTACTATTAATTTCTCATCAATTTTATTGCAATGTAAAATTATATCTCTTTTTCTTTATTAATTGGATTAAAATTAATTAGAGTAAATCTCTCTTACTACAGTAGTATTAATTGGCAAAATTTTCAATTGACTAAATCAAGTCACGTAATTTGAAGGAAAAAAAATGCCCCTTGACGTGCTGTGAAAAATTAATTACGGAGCTAAATTTTAATTAACGGCGTTTGAGTAACGACTTTATTTAATTCAATTGAATTCAAAGCACCAGCCACTTAATATATAAGTTTGAACGTGTACGTGTGTCCCTGGCTTGGGTTGGAATTATAATTCACAAGCTCCATTAGCTCTCGGTTCATTTTATTATTACGAGGGCTGAAAAATTCACGCACCGTTTCGTGTGCATTTCAGTCGGCGACATAATCGCGATCGGCAGCCAGAACGGCAGCGTGTACCTTTTCCGGGTGAGCAGGGACGGCTTCTCGTACAAAAAGTACAACAAAATCAAGGGCAGCAGCCCGCTGGCGTGCATGGACTGGAGCGTGGACAGCAACTACCTGCAGACCGTGACCACCGAATTCGACCTCATTTACTGTAAGTAGCCGCGCCACAGCGAAAATGGGTCGGAATTTGCATTTAATCGATTTGCGTGTGTGTGCGTGTGTGTGTGTGCAGGGGACGTGAAGACGATGACGTGCGGAAAAAGTCCAACGGCCATGAAGGACGTCAAGTGGTTCACGCAGACTTGCACCCTCGGATTCAACACAGCCGGTAAGAAGAAAAATAACATAAAATTATAAAAAGTATAACTTATTTTTATAATTTAATTTTGACTGTTAAACAGTTTAATTAACAATTTTATATTTTATTTGCATTTTTACTACTTTTTTAACAAAATTTTTATTTTGTTATAATTATTTTGCTTTTAAATTTTGTATTCTTCACATTTTGTTGTTTTCTTTTTACATTAAATTATCTTTATGAACATTTTGATATTATTTGTGTTGCGGTGAGCATATATTTCTATCATGAATGGAAACCTTTCATTTCTTAGCACAGCTCGTGCTTTCACGTGTGTTTATTTTTTATTAATTTATGAATATAATAATAATAATATGGAATTTTCCTCAAATTTAAAATTATTTTAAGACATTATAACAGGAAATACAGTCATATTGTGTAATTTATAAGATTTATAAGGTTTGGCATCAATATCAATTGAGATGCATTGCTGTGTTTCAGGAATTTGGAACAACCGCTTCTACCCAATGCGGAACACAATTTCCACTTGCCACCGCTCGAGCAATCACGACATGCTGATAGTCGGCGACACCGACGGCCATCTACGACTATTTAGGTCAGTTTTTACATATTTTTTCTCCACCTTTCTGCCGATATGTTCCATATTTTTTTTTTAATCCTTGGGAATTATAATTACCGACGTCACACAAAAATGAAATTCACAAGGTGTCCTTCCCAGTGAAATTTCAAATTCGATTTTTTTGCTTCAATTTATTTTGAAATTTTATGTAACCAAAAATACAAACTAGTATTCAGATATTAAATTAGAATATTTGAATAAAAAGTAACAATATGTCTGCCCTAGATTCGTTCATTGGAGTGTGCAAATCGATTAGTATCAAAAATTCACTTTAGATTTTCAGTAGAGTTGAATTATTATGTTGGTGAATAATGCTTGAATTTAAATTCTGTTTCTCCTTGATGATTTTTTTTTCTATACAAATCTAAAATCAAAGTCAAACACCATTAATTCAGCTCAATTTTAGTTACTTAAATATATTCATTCATCTAACATGCACAAATAATTCAAAAAATGAAAAATTCTGAAAAGGCATAACTTTTTTCATCATTTTGCACACAAAAGTGATACATTTTTTTTTAGATAATTAATTTATAAATAAAAAATTGAACTGCGACAATAAATTTCAATTAAAAAATTCATTTTAAAAGAAACAAGTATAAAACAATGTACATTCAATAGTATTAATTTTTTTTCTAATTTTTCATCCTTATATTTACACGTAAAATTATCTCTTGTTCTTTATTAAAATTAATTAATCTAAATAAATCTGACTATAACAAATAAATCCATCCAGGAAAGCCGAATTTAAATTCAAAAGCCAACCTCTGCCGAGAAATAGATCTTCAAAATTATTTTAGTTCGGCTCAATTTTATTTAATTTATTCATCCTTCTAACATCTAAACATAATTATTAAGGCATTTTTTTTATTGTTATCTTTTGCACACAAAAAATTCAACAAAATTTTTTTAATAAAATTTGGACTGAAAACTAATCTCAATTAAAAACAGGCATTTCAAATGTTTACTTTCATCGATTTTCTGGTGTGAAAAAATTAAAAATGTTGAAATTCGCATAATTTTTTTTAAGGTACCCTTGCATAGCACCGCGTGCCGAATACAATGAAGTCAAGGGCCAGAGCAACACCTTGGCTGCGGCCCGCTTCCTTTCGCTGGACCAGAGTGTGGTGACCGTCGGCGGCAGTGACGCGTCCCTCATGCTGTGGGACTTGGTGGACGAGTGACGAGACGCTCCCTCCTCGAAAAGGAACAAAACGCGAATCCCACGTGCAAAAACTCAAATGACCAACGAAGAACTAGATTAGGAAAACAAGTTTATAGAATTACAACTTTAAATTAAGTACACCCAAGACGCCCTCACGGTAGCCAATAGTAAATTTAATCAAGTCGAAATACAAGGTCTCGAGGAAAGACGAAGCGACAAATCTTAGTATTCATCTTTTGAGGCAAACACATAGAAACAAAATCTCTGGGTTTAGGAAAGCTCATATTTTAAAAATAAAACACAAAACGACCTGGCACTGTTTTGTACCCTACTTGGTCAAAATCTTTCCTGTTTAAAAAATTTCCAAACAAAAAATTTACCAAAAAAAATTTTACTCATTGTCAGCTTCTTCAAATCTGGTCCCAATCAATCAATAGGTTTTGATAACTAATCAGCAAAACTGTCGATTTGCTCAAGGAAAGAAAATTCTAGGCGTACCACTTATTTCATCTCCTTCCTCACTCATACATCATATTGCAAACATACGCCGCTCATTCATTAAGCAAACATTTATTCAGCGGAGCACGTTTCAAGTTGCCTTGAGACTCGGGGCATGCCACGAAAATATTTAATGGCAGCTCGGCCCAAGGTCTTTGCGCCCCCTTATTGATGCGATTAGATTTTTGGATAGCACCCTATATTGCACCTGAGCAACACAATAAAATATCTTAACACACTTGGCCCAAATTCTTCTAAGTGTTTATTGGGCAGCCACAAACATTTCTTGGCGATGATTTTTGATCTGGGACCAAGGCCATCATATCCTTCCACAATAAAAAGAAATTGCAGGCAAATTTATTAGCTAGAAAAGCTGTTAGACCTCGATTCCCTGGAAAAGGCCATTGCGGTGTTTTTGGCCACGCAATTTGTAGTTTTCTTCACTATTTGTAAGATTCAATCTATGTATTAATAATATCTAGGGCACATTGTCAAGTTGATTTACAAACCCCAGTTTGAAAATCTGCATTATTTTCTTAAACGGTACAATTGGATGATTAAAAATTTAAATAAAAGCGTACTACGTAATTATCTTGTTTGATTTTCTTAAAACCTAAGCCCCAATTTTGATTAGTTGAAAAAATGAATCAAACCAGTTTGAATAATTTGTAGATATTATTACTGAAAACTTAACTTTATTGAAGCATCATCACGGTCTCCCGACTTGAAAGGAGCTTAAATCACCATCAATAAACTTAGCACTTCATAAACTTGGGGGACATTTCTTTACAAGCATAGGATTAGGCGCTTGACTCCTTCACTTCCGCCTTGGTGAACATAAGTATGGGCCTCTGGAAGCCTTTTGAGTGGTGGGATGGCACACCAAGGACCTCAGCCTTGGCAAAACCAACCTCTGCAGACAACAAGTAGTCGGTAAACTTGTTCGGGAACAACTTGATTTTGTTGAAGTTCTCCAAAGTTTTGGCCTGAAATTATGAAATTAAGAATTAACATCAAATGCATTTTGATGCTCGAATTTGAAACTTACGGTGACAGCTTTTTTCAGCTTGTAGCTTTTGAAAGACTGGGGCTCCATAATAAGTACTCCGCCTGGCCTCAGCTGTGCGTACATTCTTTTGAAAGCTCTCTTCAGTCCATCATCTCCGTGATTTAGGTGCATCCATTTTGTCACACTCATGCATGTGATGACATCGAAGGCTTGCTTCTGCTGAGCTAACTGCTCTTCATCACTTAAAACATAATCTCCCTGCGAACAGACAAAAACAAAAATTAGGAATTAAGTTGAAAATGTTTGAAGAATAAGTAAAAAAGAAATTGCGATTCAAAATCTGTGATCCATTTAGGAAAAATGAAACATTAAATTCAAATATCTTATTAAATATTAAATTTTATAGTATCAATTGGATAAAATGTGTCATTTTCCCTTGAAATTTTTAAAATTTTATTCCAAAATGGAACACATTTGTGTAGCAGATTTTATTACCTCCAAATTTTTATTAACTCGAACTAAAAAATTAATCCATTTTTATGCAAATAAACTTACATCAACAAAAATCAGATTATCCAGGGTTGGATTCGTCTCCCGCAGACACTTTTCCAGCCCAGCATCAAGCACGCTGGATGCCTCGCCGCGGACAAAAAGTCTTTTATTCTCCCTCGCCTTCTTGACCAGGTCTGTGTCGATCTCAAGTCCAACTACTGAATTGGCGCCGTAAAGGGCCAGTGCCATAGTGAACTGACCCGAATTGCAGCCAATGTCGAGCACGTCCTTGCCTTGAATCAGACCTTGGTGAATGACTTTCAACCTCAGGTCACCGGCACCGTCTTGCAGTCTGTATCCGTAATATCGGTCGTAATTTCCAAACTGGTACAAAGTAGACTGCTGCTTTTTGGGCTGTGCCGGTTTGTTGGCTGCCACTTTTTTGTGCAACTTGCGCGACCACCCTCCTGGCTGGGGAATCACAGGACTGACAATTTTGCCCGTTGGTGGTGGTTTCCAGTGTGCTGCCGGCTTGGCGTCCTCCAGACTGGTGGGTCGAACGGCCTTTTCGGCCGGTGCGATTTTTAGTCGAGGAGTTTTGGCCTGGGGTCCGTCCGGAGAGACGAGGGAGAGTCTGCGTTTGCGCTTGCGTTTCTTCTCTTTCTTGGGGCTAATCAGCTCTAGTTCATAATTAGGGTCCTCCTCCTTCAGGTTTAGGGGGTCGTAGATGTCCGGCGGGATTAGCACTTCTATGGCCTCCTTGCGGTGCTTCGGGGTTGGCAGTGGAGAAGACTGTGGAGTCACCGCATTCATAATCCTGTAAACAATCGGGCGTGAGTTGAGTTTTATTGCATCAATTCTGACAAAGAGTGAGAAAAAAAAATAAACTGATTTTGCAATGGGAAAGTAGTGCTTTTCCGGGGCATAAATAGATCTCGGTTTCTAAAAATAACGATTTACTAGTTTCTTTGCAGGTTCTTTAGAAATGATAAAAATTATTAAGAGGCACTTCAGATTAAAAATTTTCCTTTGATTTTTTTTAAATATCAAAAACGAAAAAGAAAAACATGTCAAATGATTTAATAAGATTAAATGGGAGTTGTCTCTAAACATTGGTTGGGAGAAGCTTCAGTTTTATCATAAATGATAAGTTTGAAAATCCCAAATTATAATCAGCTTTAACTGCTTGTGACTGATCTCAGATTTCAGCTGTGCAAGGACAAAAGTAAATTTTAAAACAGAGGAAAAATTATTTAAAAAATTAGTAGTTAATATTTTGTGTTCAAAGTTCAAAAATAAAATTTTGTTGAAAAACAATCAAAATATAATTTTTGTTTTGATGCTCGACACCGGCAAACTTTGGTATATTATGTAAAATTCATGAATTTGTTTGACAACTTATGGTTGTTTCTCCTCTAAGAATTTTATTCACATATTTTGCAATTATATTACAATATACCAAAGTTTGTCTATGTCGAGTATAAAAAAGCCACGTTTTTTAACTTTGGCCATGAGTTTTTGAAAAACTAAAAATAATGTCATTTTGAAAATCACTCACTTACAGCAGAATTTTGCAAGCTACTTTTATTTGTGTTAACTAAAAAATATACTTTTTGGGGAAAATCGACTTAAAAATTGAATTGGAAATTTAGTGACCTTGACCTTGGACCACACAAAAAAGTTCAATAGAAAATTTTTTTAGGATAAAACATTACGCCGGAAAGTGAAAAGAGTAGATCAAAATTCCTACTAGAAGCAAAGATAAGTTCAATTTTGGTTATTAAAAAAAAAACCAATTCCAACAATATAATTAAAAAGTTTATCTTATCAAAAAACATACTTAATACAGAATGGCATTGTGAACTTAAAATTTCGCGGTCAATCATTCGTGAACGGTCCCTAATAAAAATTATTAACATGTCTGCAAATAAAACCATCTAAAGTAAATTCAACTTTCAACTCATTGTAAACTCTTAAAATATTTTGGTGATGAGAAGTGGGTTAAATTTTGAAACAGCCACAATGTACAGAACAATAAGATCATAAAACAATATAATTCAGGTTTTCTCTGTCAAGGCTCTCTTTTATCAAGAAAAAAATGTTCTATAACACCACAGAGGAAATACTTATCAGAGCTGATTGCTTACAATGAGTAAGAAAAGAGGAAATAATTATATTTTAAAAAAAGAATTAGGAAATAAAAAGAACCAAAATTAAAATATGATTCAAACAATTACCCGAACAAAATCAACAATATTAAAACCGAGTTTCATTACAAATTAATATACCAATTTAAGTGCGTCATTGTTTGGGAAATTTTTAAGACAAACCTATTGATTTCAGCGTCTTGCAGACTCTGCAGGTTGAGCGGGTCATGGATGTTTCCGCCGAGCAGAAACTTGGTCGGCTGCTTCATGAATTCGTTGCGCTTGTGCTTCTTGTGCATGGGGCCGTGCTTGCCTCCCGAGTAACTCCGCTTCTTGCCATTTCTGGGCCTGAAGTCGTTCGGGCCGGGCTCTTTGCCCTCGAAGCTGTCCATCGGCTTCTTTTTCTTCCAGTACTTGGAGGTGCGCGGTTGCTCCTTCAGTTTTGAAACGTGCAAGTTGGTGCACGAGCCCGACGGCTCGACCGACACCAGCCTCTCAACGTCCGTGGAGGCCATTTCTTAATTTTTTCTGAAATTAAACAGGAGAGATTTAATTAAATTAATACTTCAATTTATCGTTAAAACAAAAAATGAAATAATCATTACTTTTGCTTCGTTAATTCAAAAAAATTTGAATCAACCAGGTAAAAAAATAGAATCGTGCCTTGTTCTTACTTTGACCGCCGTGGATGGAAATAATGGAAAGAGACGCTGCGTAAATAATTATTCTTGTTTACTCCAGCGCCGTTCCCACGCGAATTGACACAATGCGGGATTACTACGATTTAATTTATCTACGAGTTCTGCTTCACTGAGCGACCACCTGGTAATGCAATTTCCAATTTTAAAATGAGCTGAAATGGTTTTTTTTTTGCAATGAATTACGTTAAAAGTTTGAACGTTTTTAATGGTGCTTGTAAAAAAGTTCTCCGCGGACGATGAATACTAAAATTATGACATCCACATTGAAGAAGTTAATTGCCTCAATCAATATTGAATTGCAGCTGTCGGGGCATTTACGCACCATTACGCAAGTTTGCAATGTTTGCTGTAAAACTTATCTGCAGTGACCTCCACAAGGCGCGAGATCGCTCATTCCGAAATCATAGATTTTTCCATTTAAAGCCTCTCTAAAGCCCAATTCGGCCCGGGGTTTTTTTTTTACAGAACTTTCATTTTAAAAAAAGAATTAAATTGGACAAGATTTGATTGAAAATTATATGAAATGAAATTTTGAGCCAATTTTATCAAATCTGCAAAATTTTTAATATAAGTATTTTTTTCTTTGTATAAATAGCAAAGTAATATTATACCTAAATTATTAAATTTAAAATTACATATCAATGAATACTTTTTTATTTCATGTAAATGATGATTTTAAAAATAATGTACTGAGCACGCAATTTTAATTAAGTATTAAAAATAATTTATTTAAATTTTTAGGTCAGTATAATTAGTAGCTCCGATTTGGCAGTGACATTTTCTTTTATCCTGCAAGTCGCATGACCTATTACTTAAAAACGACTATCAAAATCTGAATAAAAAGTGGCAAAGTCGCGAAAAAGCGAGAGAAAAGGCGAATCCTGCTTGGCCCGGCGGCTGTCAGCGATCGTGCATGTGCGAAAACGGCGGCTGACAGCAAAGGCGAGTGCGAAAAAACACATAAGAAGCGAGTGGTGCACGGATATACGTATAAGTACGTACATAGGCACTACGTATGCTGGGCAGGAGTCGCATCGTCCATGACTGAATGAACAACAACAGCAGCACTCCCTGCCCCACAATGGCTAGCTGTTGGTCGCGATTTCTCGGCCCAAATGAATGCCACGGGCGCCGAACGGGCGCCAACCGCGAAAGGGGTCTTCTTACCTTCGGCCGGTGCCCTTTTCAGGGTTGATATTCGCCTCTGAACCTCGATTCGGCCGAGAGAAAGGGGCGACGATTTGCTCTCTTGCTGAGACGTCTCCGTCGTTTGGTTTGGTTGGTTCGTGTTTAGTCTTGTATGTAGTTTTGTCCGTCCGTCTGCACAGCAAGGTCGTGCGAAAGCAAACTCGAATCGACGGCCATGATGGAATGAATAAAAGGCGGCAGGTTTGAAAACTCGCGTTATGTAATGCGAAAATTTGAATTTCGCGCAATTCAATGGTATGAAAGTTCGCATCCTTTATCTTGTTTCAACCTGGATTACGTCACAAAACCGCTCCCACATTGCTGTTCACACTCACAGAGATTTTGAGCCATGGCGACATTTTATCGAGTTCGCAGTCGAATATTTTGGAAGCTTTTTACTATTAACAGCTCATGTACGACCCGTAATTAATGAAGGCTAAACATCCACAATTTTTTCGTTATCGGAATTTTTATGTCACCTCTCTTGTTTCAGTTTCCTTGTGCTTGTTCGGATAGTTTTTTGAAGATGAAAATTTCAAAAGCAATGTTTTAAACCTGATTGTTGAGAACTGCGACGTGTTCATTTTCAAAAGGTTCCGTAATTGCCCGATCTTGGTGAAATTAAAATCATTTTATCAGATAAGTACCACTGAAAATAATTTTTTCGAACTAATACTTTGTGTTGATTTTCTCCTTTTAGTTTATTGGAACAGAACTATTAAATCTGAAGGAAGTCGTTGATTAATATCATTCGATGGAACGTCAGATTAATCGATTGTATGAGATAATTAAGTGCATCAGTGAACAAACATATAACTCGCTATGCGTAAGTTTGTGTTATTGTGTTGGTAATTAATTAAATAAGGAAATTTTAATTATGTTAATTTTTAGCGGAAAATTTCAAAGCTCCACCAAATTAATTGAAAGCCTAGTCTTGTAATTAATTGTTTTTAAGAGTTTGTTCTGGTTTGTTAAAGTAACTCCAATTTTATACATTTATAATAATAACAAAATAATCCTATAACGAAACAACAATAATACATAAATTTTATTTATGTTTCTATCGGTTTTTATACTTTGTAATAAAAAGCTACAGTATTTTAATAATCGTTTTTTTGTGTGTAAATATTGCACAATGTTTTTTTGGATGTGAGATTAATTCGTTGTGAATTAAATTTTTTTGTAAAACTAATGAATAAGCATCCAAGTGTAAATGTATGTATTTCTGGTTTGAACCACCGGCGCCATTGGTGGCGCTCCGTGTCATTCCTCCTTGGCGCCACCCGAAGAGGTTGAGCTTCCGCCATCTGTTTTTGGATTCGAGCGAATGTTTTGCTTTCGCTGCCTCGTACGTAATTCTTTCTCGTCGCTCTTTCCAGTGCAGTCGCGAGCTCAGATTGATTAATTAATCGATGTTAATGCAGAGCTAATTAACTTTGGGTCGCATTGCCGGCGTGACAGCGCAGATGACGCGAAAGTAAATCCGTTCGCCTTTTTCTGCGTCAAACCAGGTGAGCAGGTTTTTTCCATTTCGGTGCGTATTGATTGCGAATACTTAGCGCGGGTTTGCGAATCGATTCGCTCGCCCCTCGCTTGCGTTTGGCCGCGGGTTCGATTTTTGTGTGTTTTTCGTGCGTTCAGCGACCGTGACTAACAATTTATTTCGCCACTTGCTAAATCCGTGCCTCGCATTTGCATTCGGAAAAGTACACACAAGAAGCAGACGAGATAGAACCGTCATTCGTGCGGCGCTCGCCAACCTGTTAGGGCTTGATGCATATTTATTAATGCTAATCACTTGTCCTAGACGTATATAATATTCTTATTAATAACACAAGCACTAGCGATATTAATAAACTTGCCTTTTATTTTCATTTCAACGCGAAATGTTTTCAGCAGCGAATCGGTTGCACAAACACCACAATAAGTTGGATTGAATATTGCTGTTGTTTTTTCTTATCTGCACATCTGAACTTTCTCTTTTGTTTTTCCAGAATGGGTCAGACGTTATCAGAGCCCGTGACTGATAAAGAGTCGGCGTGTTGCCAGAACGAGTACCTCAAGGTTGGCTCGAGTAGCATGCAGGGATGGCGAATCAACATGGAAGATTCGCATTGCCACATTTTGTCGCTGCCCGACGACCCAGGCACCGTTTTTCTTGCAGTCTACGATGGACACGGAGGCGAGTGTGCCAAAATTTATTTTGTTTGGTTTTTATTGATAAAAAAAAATAAATTATTGTTTTAGGTGCTAAGGTAGCACAGTATGCGGGGGTAAACTTGCACAAGTTTATAGTAAAGCAGCCAGAATATCAGACAGGAAATATTGAGGAAGCTTTGAGAAAGGTTTGTCATTAAAATATGATTAGAATTATTTTTCTCTCTTCAAATGATGATCCTGGATTAAATTTCAAAGGGGGTTTATAAATTTTATTAACTGTACATTTATTTATCTCATTAAAATTCTTTACTAATGAGTCAATTATATTCTGTCACCAAAATGAATTGCACAAACGTGCACCTGGCACATTCATTGTCAGACTGCGAGTGTAAATATAAGAACATTTCATAATCCGGTCATACTTTCTATTTCAGGGCTTTCTGGCATTGGACCAGGCGATGCTGGCTGAAGAGAGCTTGCGGGATGAAATGGCAGGCTCGACGGCAATTGTGGTTCTAATAAAAAACGACACATTGTACTGCGTAAGTGCCGCAACGCTCGTCTGACGCATCCAGTAATCCGTTCTCTTTTGGCAGGCGAATGTCGGTGACTCGAGAGCGATTGCATGCATTATGGGCAAGGAGGAGAGTCTGTCCAACGACCACAAGCCAAGTTACCCGACGGAAAAGCGCAGAATACGAGCGGCAGGCGGTTGGGTCGAATCGAACCGGGTGAACGGAAACTTGGCTCTGTCCAGAGCGCTCGGCGACTTTGTTTTCAAACGCAACGAGTCGAAACCACCGGAGGAGCAAGTCGTCACTGGTAATTGATTCATTCTCACAACGGAGAAAAGCGTTGGTTAACAAAAACTAAATTCCCAAAGCTCTGCCAGACATTGAAGTCAGAACTGTAACTTCGGATTGGGAGTTTGTACTGCTCGCCTGTGATGGAATTTGGGATGTCATGGGTCGGGAGGTAAATTATGAATTTTTTAATAGAGTTTCCAAGTATCCTTATTGAGTAATTTTCTAGATCAAAATTTTCAAATATTTGATTTTGATTGAGATTGAAAGAAATGAATTCATGTATTTTTCCTCATTGCAATGATTTGTTCAGAATAATGTGATTCTAAATTTGAAATAGGCTGCAATAATGTTTTCCCATGATAACTAAATTTATTTCCATTTCATTTTTTTTTTTTATTGACAAAAAACAACAATATTTTTTGATAGCAGTTATTTGCTTAAAAGCATTACAATTTTTTGAAATTCAAGATAACTAATGAATTATGAAAAAAGGGGAATCGAATAGTAAAGAACAGTTCCTGGGATGCACCACTTAGGGAATTCTAAGTCCATCCCGATGGCGCCAAGGAAGAAGCTCATTTTATAGCCTCTATTTTCCTGAGTGTTGCATCCCCGGAACTATTCTTTACTTTTTCACATTTTTTTTTTATTAATTCACTACTTTCAACTTAATTATTATGTAGTTTTTTTCCCATCTTTCCTATTATATAATATTTTGCTGTCATTTCAGGAAGTCTGCGACTTTGTTCGACTACGCTTATCAACAGGGATGGAACCGGAAATTATTTGCGAAGAGCTGATGACCAGGTGTCTCGCGCCAGACTGCCACATGGGAGGCCTTGGCTGTGACAATATGACTGTGGTCATCGCTTGCTTCCTGCACGGCGAACCCTTTTCGCAGCTGGTGGCGAAATGCGCCCGGCCGGTGAGTCGCCAGGTCGACGATCTCATGCCCTGGTAATGGAGTGCGGTCACTAACAAAAAGCAAACAGCCCTCGGTTGGACGAATTGTAATTGTTTCGTCCCTGGCTTAGTTTAGAGCTAAGCATTGTGTTTTGGATTGCAGCACAATAATCAATCAATCTCACTGTCAGTACACTAAAAATATTTTCATATGTGATAGTCACGTGTCATAATCATGAGAGAGAAAGAAATTATATTAACCTTAGTGTTTAATAATGCACACCAAGAGTGCAAGAGCGCATGCCACTCACACGGAACTGGAACTTTTACGCCTCCCGCAGAGGCCGTCAATATTGAATCAAATGATGTTTTTTTTTATAATTTTAAACTGCATACTTCCTATGTTTTATATATGTGAATCATTTTCAAGTCCGTCTTATTTCCGCAATTTTATTTTTTAAATTTACTGTTTCAGATAATTGTAGAGGATAAATCAGAGCAAGTTGTTGAAAATTATTTTCATCTTGTCTACTCGAAAATAAGTTCTAAGGTTCCGAAACTGCCACTTATCTCTAAACAGCGAAAGCTCTAAACTTTTAAACCCAGCTCACCGCGCGTATTCTTTCGTTTTTGTTTTGTTTTGCGAATTTTATCTCTCCCTGCATTTTTGCAATTTTTGCTATGAATATAACTTTAATGTATATTATATTTAAAAACTTTTAAACACCACCACCAATTTTAAGTCAAATATTCCTTCGAGAACTTGGCAACTTCCAAATTTCTTCCTATATACTGTATTGTCTAATAATTTAGCTAGTCAATGGCCGGGCGTCCAACACTGCGTCCTGGCTCGTAGATGCAAAAAAATTTAGTGCAATCGGCTTCTAGACACAGTTTGATTACTTTATGAAGCATCAGCTCCCGTGTTCATTTATTTGTTTAAAAACCACGCTCGCTTAGTGAGTACTTAAAAGTGATTTGTAATAAGAGATAATAATGTAACAAAAGAAAATATATTAAAATTCAGGTTATATTGTTATGTCCTGCATTTCATTTGAACTCCAACACCTGTTTACAAGGAGAGCCAATTAAGAAATTTAAAAACCTTGCGAAAGACAAATTCTGATGATTTTTCATGATGAGGAATATATCTATGTCATTATTTTAAAGGTTTTATAAATATTTCCAAAGTACCTTTATAATTTCACATATTTATTTTTCTTCTGCATTTTTGTTGGGGTGGGTGCAGTGCCTCCAGGATACATTTGAGATGAATTTTGAGCTCCAACTTTTGGAAAAATACCGCTCTCATTTTTATATATTCTATTGGTTTCAGAATCCAAAATTTTGACGGATTTTTGACTGTTTTTTCCTAAAAAATTTGAAATTGGCAAAGCTCGATTAAAAATAAAAATAGAAAGAAAGCTTTTTCCTGTACCATTCATAACTTTTCATTGCAAACAACTTTCCCATTGACCTCAAGGCCAATATTCAAGGTCACTTGTATGTACTGTAAGAATAAAAATTATGTGCTTTGATAATATGCAATATTTTAAGTAATATTTAGCTAAAAAAAAAAATTGGTAAATACAAGTTCCCAAAGAGAAGTTTGCAAATTTACTGAGGCTTCAAAATTAAAGGATTTACTTTAATAGAAACGAAAAATTTAAAACTAAAATAATTAAAAAGCTTACAGTGTTACATAATTATGTGGGGGAAAAATAAAAAAAAATTCAAATTAATAGGAATAAAAAATTATTCAAGTTGCCAAAAATTTTCATTTTAGATTGAAACTTTCTTACAATTAGTAAAATAATCGATTTCATTAATATTTTGATAACAGAAAATCGGTTCTCTTAACTTTTTAGCTGCTTATTAACCAAATCTAAAAACTAATTAATGCTCAAGCTTAGAGCTGCGTACAATGCAAAAAGTGCAGTAGAGAACAATTTGCGCAGCGGGCGAGGGCTCATTACCTTGGCAGCCACCAAGGTGCAGCGTGGCGTATTTGCAAAATGCCATTATTTATAATTATAAGCGTATGGTGCTTCTGTGTATGCTCCGCGGGTACACCATGCGCTTTTTATTATTTATTTCACTCCCCAGTCGCTCGCAAAAACACATTCAAGCTGAAAAACGCGCGGCACTTGCTAGCGCGCTTACACGCTTATTTGCATGCAGCAGAAATTCCAATTTGCGCTATACAAATATACACCCCGAGGTTTTCTCTCCCATATATAATTATTATATAAGCATTTGCGAGCGTAAATTAAAAAGCACTTGTGTCTTTTAGCATGCATGAACGCCCGCAAAACCGCGTGTATATTAACACACGTGAAAAGAGAGCAGCAAATGCGCCAAAACCCACACAAATTAAGAAAGGAAAAATCAGCGCATGCAGCAGCAGTTTTTTTTTCGCTCATAAGTGCCGCTCGCTGCTTCGACGAGGTGCGAGTTTTAATGGCGCAGCCTTGCTGTGTGCTTATTATTAATTCGCGGCTGCGAGTCGAATAGCGCGCCGCTCATGCGAGAATATTTAATTTACCAAGGGCGCGCCCCTGTGTTTTTGCTTGACGGGAAAATAAAATCTACGCCGCGCATTTTCCGGAATTTACCGCCTCGAGAATAATTCAAGTGTTGGCAGATTTTCTTTTTCTTTTGGCTTAATAGTAAAAAAGCCCGTAATTACATAGCTTCAGCTCGGCGAGTAGGTTTAATTTTTGGAAACACCTATTTGCTTCCAAACTGGGCCTATGATTTTAAGTAAGTTGATATAACTTGAGCTGGCTGCCTATTATCTCCCATTTCTTGTATGATATGTTGCGAGAGAATAAATTAATTGAATTCTGGAGCGCATTAGGTTTTTCCTTTAAGAAATAATCTGCTACGTAAAACTTCATCACTATATATGGAATTTTCTGAACTTTCTTAAAAAACGAGATACTGCAAGATATTTTAAATTTAAATTAAAAGAAAATTTATAACATTTTATTTAAAATGAGTTAATAACAATAAATTGCATGAATACGGCTTCAAAATGATTATTGCAATTGAATGCACAATTTCCAGACTTTTATCGGAAGCTACATAATTATGAAGGTGTAAAAAAAATCCTCACATGTTTTCTATTGCCGCTGAAAAATGTGTTTTTGCTATTTAATTTTATAAATATGCTCATTACGAGAAAAGTGACCAATAAAATCAACCAATATTTCAGCATGAAATTTATCCTTTTTACCAATAAATTTTACAGATTTTAAACAAATGTATTTTTAAGAAGGTCAAGTAAATGTTCTGAAAAAGGGAGATGATGAATATATTACATTCGGCAAGCACTATCGCGAGTTCTTTCTATTATATGGGCAGAAGATGCAAAATTAATCCAAGACGGCCGTGCATAATTGAAAAGTATTGTAAAAAAATCCTCTGTTGTCTCGAGTCTTGCTTCCTTTTTTACACTAGAGCCGCAAACATTGATTTTCCCCCGCTTTCTGCGCGCTTAACTGTGCAAGTCATACACAAAAAAGAATAGAGAGAGAGAGGCATAATAAGCAAAACACTTTTTGTCAAGATTTAAGAATCGATTTTGTCAATCACAAAAGAGAGCCGCCGTCGAGCGTCGTCGACTATCCGCGCCAGATAATAGATGAGTGCTGTGTATCTATGTAGGCAACCCTCCTTAAGTGTAGCCTCCCCCGCATTACATAATATATATGTATTATCATCCACCTCTCATTCATTTTCCACCCTCTCTACTTTCCAATTGTTGTCGCAGATAGATGGATAGATAGATAGACCAGCTCTCAACAAAAGCCACTGACTAGCCCGTTGTGTAAACAGAGCAAGTCTCATATCTGCACATCGCGCGCAGCAGCTGACGAAGAAGGAAAGTAACGCGATCCGAATCTAATTTGGCCGGCAAAAAATTTTGATGGTAATGCAGGTTTTTTTTGTCTCGGTGCGATTAGGGGATTTTCTCGCCGTGTGAATCGAGAGCAGCTTCTATTTTTTTTTTCGTCTCCTCGCGTTCTCATTTGTATGTATTCACTATTCAGCTTTCTGTATACGTGTTGTGTGCAGCGATATAATAAATGTTTGCGGCGATGAATGGGGAGGCTAAATGCTATAATTGTGTAGTTCACACAACAATGCAGCGCCGGGGTGTTAGGGCGCACCCCTTCGACGAACGCACAATGGCCAAATATTATGGAATAAAATTAAATCTCGCCCGAGCATTTGCAGTGCCAAAAGCAGAGTGACGACGGATTCATTTGTTCACATGTAAATAAATATAATGCTCATTCACACATACATATATTCAAATTTGAAGACTGCAATATGCGTTCGACAATCTTGCGCGTCTGCACTCGAGGTTTGCTTTTTCCCCAAACAATGCGCGACAAGTTGAAATGGGGCGTCTGCATTCGAACCGCAATTTAAATCGACTTGAATTGTCCATTGTAATAATCGAATCTGATACAGCAGAACATTATTTTCAAGAAAAAAAGGAGTGAATAAATATTAATTACAAATTATTCTATACTTTTATAACTCATTATAATATATTCATGAACAAGAAATATTTAAAGTGGAAAAATGAATGAATTCATTTATTGAAGGAGAAATAAAACAATTCTTTTCAATGAGACCAATTCTCTTTAATAATAAAATGCTTGTATTTGTATCAAATTTAAAGACAATTATATATTAACATTTTCCTTCAATACAGTTTACTGAATCATTTTCATCCTACACTCTGTAAAAACGAAATTTTGCAATGCTTAAATTAATTTTATTTCCCTGAAGATTTAAAATTTAATTTTAGTTATTTCAAGCATGCCAAATTAATTAACAATTGAGTGAGATTTTGCTTCTCATGCCAAATTTCAAGAGGCAAATTTGGAAAACGAGTAATAAGAATAACTCTGTATTAGAACTTGGTTGCATATTTTAATTTTCACAAATGAAATGCTTGGAAATAGCAGTTTATATTGATCAAAGTGTCAATAAAAGAGAGCCGGCGAGAAAATTCTTTTTTAATATTAAAGGAAACGAATCCAGGTCACGAGGCGGCAGGTAAAGCAGTCGTTTCTCAATTTCCCGCATTTTCCATTTCCAGATGAGCACGCGCGCGCACTCTGCTGTATATAAATAGAGGGACACACAGCACAATTCTTCTTCTTCTTTTCCATCCATATATTTATGCGAGAGAATAAATATAATACGCACAATGGCGCGGCAACAGCAGCAGAAGCGGTGCTCACTGTAATGAAAAAGGAGGAAGGACTGAATAAATAATGTGTGCGCCGCACACGAATGATGAAAAACTTTTTCTCCAAATACTGCATTTATATTGTGCGCGAATAATACAGCTTCACTGCCATTTTGTTCGATGAAAGGAAGGAAAAACTTTTTATCATTGTTACAAAAGCAACAAAAGTCTCTCTCTCTCTCCTGAAAGTCCTATAGAAAACTGACATTGTTGTGAGGGCCTTGCTTGCTTGCTTCTGGTGCTGCTGGCTGCATAGAAAAAGGTATATACAATAGTGGAGCTAAAGGAGGCGCCATTGTCTGCTCACAATGGCCCCTACTGTGGTAACAAAACTCTTTGAATAAGGAAGTTTTCAGAATAACACACTGCGCCGCTCGCTAGCTCTCTTTCCCCACCTCTTCCCTACCAGCAGTAATAAATTTTATAAAGTTATGGGAAAAAATCGCTTCTGCTTTTCGGACGTAAATCTATAGAAGAGTCAGTCAATATTTTTTATCTCTTTTTTGCGAGGAATAAACTCGGAGTTGATGGATTTGCCGCACTCGTTGCAGACAATATATCAATGATCTTTCTCTCTTTTTGATGCACCCCCTCCCTATTGAGGGGTGATTTAAGTGCACAAAGTGGAGCATTATGCGGAGAAATTTGCTTCCTTTCGTGTCCGGCCGCCGCGTCCACTTGAATGGAGAGTGCAACACGCTTAGTAATTTATTTGCATGAGTGGCACATTTCGGCCACAGCAGATAAGGATCATTGATTCTTGTTTG